TTCAATACATATTTTAATTTTATTAAGGGTGATGTTTTACATACATATCCAGAGAACGATAACGACTGTTTAGTAAATCCAGATGGTAAATAGTAAATAAAATCCAGTAATTGAAATAATCCAAATAATTATCCAGTATATAAAAAGGAATTTAAGAAGACTTAACTTCTGTGATTAATAATTTACCGATTTTACAGTATGCGTATTTTGTATATTTTAAAAGAGATTAATCCGGAAAATGAAAACATTTAACAACGTTGTTTATAAGCGATGTTCCTTGTATTGCTATTTTCAAGCACTCTTTTTGCAAATATAGATTGTTAAATGGAAATACTTTCGAAATGGTTTTAGTTGTTATTTTATTCATCCAACTTTATATTTATGATTTGATTTATGAAGGACCAAGAAACGACGTTTTTTTGCAGAAAACATATCCGTTTTGGAGACCCTCAGAAAGATAGATGGGTAACCCATTTGAAATATTGTTTTATTTTTTCCTTTGAAACTTCGTTGTTGTAGTGGTTTTCTTGGTCTTCGATATTTATTTATTATTATTATTATTTTTAATATCGAGTTTATATCATTCATATAATAGTAAATTATTATTCTGTCAGGCTCTATGCCTCATAGTATTTTAGACGTATATGCAGACTTTTCCTGTTGAATTTATAAACAAACTAAACATTTTATTTAGATTTTGATATTTCATAGAGATTCTTGGAAATTGTTTTTTTTTGTCGTTTGATACGATTCGTTGTCAACAATAATTTTTGAGAACACTTTTAAAACGGCAAGCGATTTCGTATATTTTAAAACGCCTAAGCGCATAGTTTTTAACAAATCAATTTGCATTTTAGAAAGCCAATAAGCGAATAAAGTGATACACATGTTTCAAAGAATGAATACCTAACACTTCATTTATAAAAAATAGATTTCGCAGTAGTTTTGAATAAGTGGTATAGCGGAATTTAAATAATATCAAAACATACAGTCTTTTTAATTTTATTTAAAAAAAAGCTTTTAAGTAAGTACAAAGTGCTTTTTAAAACAAATTTAGGTCCGCATAGAATTGATGTGAATAAGATCTGTTTTATAATCCGCCCTAAAAGTAAAGTGAAGAATAAATCCAGTATTTATGTAATACAAATCCGTATACAATATTTTCAAAGGTATTTTTTCGAGAAGTCTTTATTTATGTCATTGGTTTTCATATAAGGTAATTATAATCCAGGTAAAAATTGTGTATTTTCGAATCTAAAGAAATGAAATGAATTTTCAAATTTAAGGAAACGTATACTTTAAATAAAGTTTTTAAACTTTAAACTTTGCAGCACCACTGGTTTATGCAGATACGTATTAAAAGTTATACATTTTAAAGTCCGAAATAGAGAATCTAAAGTGTGCGTATATGTTTTACGTTTAATAAATATTTTTCCATGCTATCCCATGCTGGTGCTAGCTGCACAAAAGTATAGACTAAGTAATCTACTAGACGAGATAATTGATTGTTGATCATTTATTTTAGCCTTTAAAGCAATTTTATCTGTGAAAGAAATCCTAAAATAGATATATTACATTTTTTAATAATTCCTTTCGAATTTTGATATATACACTATTATTACTTTCTTGAACTGTTGAATTTTTAAATCGGTTCTAAAATGTCCTATCTTGAAGTTTTTATTTAATTTCCTCTGAAGTTTATTATATCAAAGAGTTCGACAATGCTTAGAACATTTTCATTTGATAAAATTAACTATTCCATTTGCTTTTTTGTGTTTTAAATTATAAATTGTGTTTTCAATCAAAAGCAAAACGGTAAATTAGTTATCAATATATTTCTTTATTAAAAAAAATTTATTGACAGAAAACTAATTAAAAAAGAAAATCAAGTAACAAAACATTTGAGTCAGACAGTTTTTCCAATTTAATGTTCACCTACTTATGGATACCAACTTAAAAATATTAAAAATAGTCAATCAATAATAGCCAATCCCACAAACTCTAACTTCCAAAATATCCTAAAATTCCTAAACAGTTTAAAAATCACACATACAATATATAAAATAGCATCATAGTAATTACATCCTTGTTTAAAACCTCTTGTAAATATTAAGTTTTGTAAGTATTATTAAATAAGTTAAAACCACTTGTAAATAATACATTTTGTAAATATTACAGTAATGTTATATACGATTATTGTAACACCACAAGTCAAAGGACTTAGCTGCTATGGCTCTAAATACCACCGTTAGCTCTTAGTTTAATTGTTAGCCTTAGATAGATTAATATTTTAATTAATTAAAAATAGTTGAGTAAAATGAATTTAAGACAAGAAAGAAAGGCTAACTTCGGGCGGAGCCGAAGTTGATATACCCTTGCAGAATATTCTGTAAATTATATTCTCCAAAATCGGATCGGTTATTCATATGATGCATTCTTAATACTCAAAAATTCCAACTTCCTAACTTTAAAAACACCAAAGTTATGTCATTTCCAATCGTTTAGTTATATGGCAGCTATAGGATATAGTCGGCCGATCCTTATGAAATTTGGCAGGTCGGATTGATTGTCCAAAAATAAAACCCATAGAAAATCCCCACTTCCTAACTTTACCAAAGTTATGGCATTTCCGATCAATCAGTTATATGGCGGCTATATGATATAGTCGGCCGATCCTTATGAAATTTGGAAGGTCAGACTGATTGGCCAAAAATAAAACCCATAGATAATCCCAACTTCCTAACTTTAAAAACACAAAGTTATGGCATTTCCGATCGTTCAGTTATATGGCAGCTATATGATGTAGTGGCCCGATCCGGCTCGTTCCGACTTATATACTACCTGCTATAGAAAGACAACTTTTGGGAAAGTTTCAAGCAGATAGCTTTAAAACTGAGGGACTAGTTTGCGTAGATACGGACAGACGGACGGACAGACGGACATGGCTAGATCGACTCTCCTGGTGATGCTGATCAAGAATATATATACCTTATAGGGTCGGAAATGTCTCCTTCACTGCGTTGCAAACTTTTGACTGAAATTATAATACCCGTTGCAAGGGTATAAAAAAATTAATAAAAAAAAAATAATTTTGTACTAATTTGTAAGCCATTTTTATGAAATAGAGTGAAGGAAGCAAACTGACTTCCGACTTCTAATAAATTTTTATTGGTTAACAAATAGTTTTTAAGAAATACAATGAACAAATCACGTTAGATTACCGTATGTTTTAAAAATTCATTCCGAGTTGCTAACTATTTTAGCTATTCAACAGTTTATCTTGAATGGGACCGCCTTATTAAGAAACCCTACCAAATCTAGTTTTGTATATAACCCTTTTCTGATTTTGGAAATTTCTTTTATCAAGTGCAGATAGTTAGCTTCAAAGATTCCTACCTAATGTTTTTTTTACTAATTTGTAAGCCATTTCTTACGAAATAACAAAATCAGGAGGAATTACCGAATTTTTTGAAAGCCCATTTCGATTTGATTTAAATATTTTAGTTATTCAGAAGACATTAATAGACCCTACCTTATTTAATTTTTAATACAACACCTGTTTTGATTTTTTAATTTTGCATATCTTTTATGAAGTGGAGATAATCAGTTTGAACGATTAAAGTTTCTTACGAAATAACACCACAAAATCACAAGGGAATACCGTATGTTTTAAGAGTTATTTAGTTTACGATCTTGACAAGGAGGACCTTATTTAGAAACCCTATATAATTTAGTTTTTAATACAACACCTTTTTTAATTTGTTATATTTGCATATATTCTATGAAATGAAGATAGTCTGTTTGAAAGATTAAAGTTTCTAATTTTGTACTAATTTGTAAGCCATTTCTTACTATGTAACACCAACAAATCACGAGGGATTACCATATGTTTTAAAAACCCTACCTTCCGATTTTCTAAATATTTCAGATATTTAAAAGTGTACGATCATGCATGGGCAAACCTTATTAAGACACCTTACCTTGATTATTTAATTTAGCATATATTTTATGAAGTGAGATATTCAGTTCGACCGATTTAAGTTCCTACCTAATTTTGTACGAATTTTTAAAACATTTTTTATGAAACAGCACCAAAAAGTCACGAGGGATTACCGTATGTTTGATAAGTCCTACCTTGCCAGTTGCCAACTATTGACGTTATTCATAAGTTTTTTCATTTAGTTTTTAATACACCTTTTTTGATTGTTGTATCTTTTATAAATTGAAGATAGTATAATATTGTACTATTTTGTAAACCCTTTTTTTACGCAATAACACCAAAAAGTCTTACCTTCCGATTTGTTAACAATTTTAATTATTCAAAAGTTTACGATCTTGAATGGGAGAAAGGTTCGCATGTGCAAATCTTATTAAGACACCCTACCTAGTTTGGTTTTTAATACCACACTAATTTTGATTTTTTTAATTTTGCATATATTTTATGAAGTCGAGATAGTCAGTTCGACCGATTTAGGTTCCTACCTAATTTTGTTCTAATTCGTAATCACTTTTTCCGAAATAACACTAAATCTCGAGGGAATACCGTATGTTTTAATAGTTATTTAGTTTCCGATCTTGATGAGGAGGACCTTATTTAGAAACCCTACCTAATTTAGTTTTTAATACAACACCTTTTTTAATTTGATATATTTGCATATCTTTTATAAAATGAAGATAGTCTGTTTGAAAGATTAAAGTTCCTTTCTAATTTTGTACTAATTTGTAAGCCATTTCTTACGATATAACACCAAAAAATCACGAGGGATTATCATATGTTTTTAAAGCCCTACCTTCCAATTTTCTAAATATTTCAGATATTAAAAAGTGTACGATCTTGCATAGGCAAACCTTATAAAGACACCCTACCTTATTCAGTTTTTAATACAGCACTTATTTTGATTTGTTAATTTTGCAAATATTTATGAAGTGGAGATAGTCAGTTCGACCGAATTAAGTTCCTACCTAATTTTTCTCTAATTCGTTAATAATTTTTTACGAAATAACCCCAAATAGTCACGAGTGATTACCATATGTTTTAAAAGTCCTACCTGTCGAATTGGTAACAATTTCAGCTATTGAGAAGTTTACGATCTTGATTGGGCAAATCTTATTGAGAAACCCTACCTTATTAAGTTTTTAATACCACACCTTTTTTTGACTTTGGAAATTTGAATATATTTTATCCAGTAGAGATAGCACATTTAATAGATAAAAGTTCCTACCTAATTTTATACTAATTTGAAAGCCATTTCTTACGATATAACAACAAAAAATCACGAGGGATTACCATATGTTTTAAAAGCCCTACCTTGCGATTTTCTAAATATTTCAGATATTAAAAAGTGTACGATCTTGCATGGGCAAACCTTATAAAGACACCCTACCTGTCGAATTGGTAACAATTTCAGCTATTGAGAAGTTTACGATCTTGATTGGGCAAATCTTATTGAGAAACCCTACCTTATTAAGTTTTTAATACCACACCTTTTTTTGACTTTGGAAATTTGAATATATTTTATCCAGTAGAGATAGCACATTTAATAGATAAAAGTTCCTACCTAATTTTGTACTAATTTGAAAGCCATTTCTTACGATATAACACCAAAAAATCACGAGGGATTACCATATGTTTTAAAAGCCCTACTTGCGATTTTCTAAATATTTCAGATATTAAAAAGTGTACGATCTTGCATGGGCAAACCTTATAAAGACACCCTACCTTATTCAGTTTATAATACAGCACTTATTTTGATTTTTTAATTTTGCAAATATTTAGGAAGTGGAGATAGTCAGTTCGACCGATTTAAGTTCCTACCTAATTTTTCTCTAATTCGTAAATAATTTTTTACGAAATAACCCCAAATAGTCACGAGTGATTACCATATGTTTTAAAAGTCCTACCTGTCGAATTGGTAACAATTTCAGCTATTGAGAAGTTTACGATCTTGATTGGGCAAATCTTATTAAGAAACCCTACCTTATTAAGTTTTTAATACAACACCTTTTTTTGACTTTGGAAATTTAAATATATTTTATCCAGTGGAGATAGCACATTTAATAGATAAAAGATCCTACCTAATTTTGTACTAATTTGAAAGCCATTTCTTACGATATAACAACAAAAAATCACGAGGGATTACCATATGTTTTAAAAGCCCTACCTTGCGATTTTCTAAATATTTCAGATATTAAAAAGTGTACGATCTTGCATGGGCAAACCTTAAAAAGACACCCTACCTTATTCATTTTTTAACACAGCACTTATTTTGATTTTTTAATTTTGCAAATATTTATGAAGTGGAGATAGTCAGTTCGACCGATTTAAGTTCCTACCTAATTTTTCTCTAATTCGTTAATTATTTTTTGCGAAATAATCCCAAATAGTCACGAGTGATTACCATATGTTTTAAAAGTCCTACCTGTCGAATTGGTAACAATTTCAGCTATTGAGAAGTTTTCGATCTTGATTGGGCATATCTTATTAAGAAACCCTACCTTATTAAGTTTTTAATACAACACCTTTTTTTGACTTTGGAAATTTGAATATATTTTATCCAGTAGAGATAGCACATTTAATAGATAAAAGTTCCTACCTAATTTTGTACTAATTTGAAAGCCATTTCTTACGATATAACACCAACAAATCACGAGGGATTACCATATGTTTTAAAAGACCTACCTTGCGATTTTCTAAATATTTCAGATATTAAAAAGTGTACGATCTTGCATGGGCAAACCTTATAAAGACAACCTACCTTATTCAGTTTTTAATACAGCACTTATTTTGATTTTTTAATTTATCAAATATTTATGAAGTGGAGATAGTCAGTTCGACCGATTTAAGTTCCTACCTAATTTTTCTCTAATTCGTTAATAATTTTTTACGATATAACCCCAAATAGTCACGAGTGATAACCATATGTTTTAAAAGTCCTACCTGTCGGATTGGTAACAATTTCAGCTATTGAGAAGTTTACGATCTTGATTGGGCAAATCTTATTGAGAAACCCTACCTTATTAAGTTTTTAATACCACACCTTTTTTTGACTTTGGAAATTTGAATATATTTTATCCAGTAGAGATAGCACATTTAATAGATAAAAGTTCTTACTTAATTTTGTACTAATTTGAAAGCCATTTCTTACGATATAACACCAAAAAATCACGAGGGATTACCATATGTTTTAAAAGCCCTACCTTGCGATTTTCTAAATATTTCAGATATTAAAAAGTGTACGATCTTGCATGGGCAAACCTTATAAAGACACCCTACCTTATTCATTTTTTAACACAGCACTTATTTTGATTTTTTAATTTTGCAAATATTTATGAAGTGGAGATAGTCAGTTCGACCGATTTAAGTTCCTACCTAATTTTTCTCTAATTCGTTAATAATTTTTTACGAAATAACCCCAAATAGTCACGAGTGATTACCATATGTTTTAAAAGTCCTACCTGTCGAATTGGTAACAATTTCAGCTATTGAGAAGTTTACGATCTTGATTGGGCAAATCTTATTAAGAAACCCTACCTTATTAAGTTTTTAATACAACACCTTTTTTTGACTTTGGAAATTTGAATATATTTTATCCAGTGGAGATAGCACATTTAATAGATAAAAGTTCCTACCTAATTTTGTACTAATTTGAAAGCCATTTCTTACGATATAACACCAAACAAGAAAGGAAAGCTAACTTCGGGCGGAGCCGAAGTTGATATACCCTTGCAGAATACTCTGTAAATTATATTCTCCAAAATTATTCATATGATGCATTCTTAATACTCATAAAAAATCCCAACTTCCTAACTTTAAAAACACCAAAGTTATGGCATTTCCAATCGTTCAGTTATATGGCAGCTATAGGATATAGTCGGCCGATCCTTATGAAATTTGATAGGTCGGATTGATTGGCCAAATATAAAACCCATAGAAAATTCCAACTTCCTAACTTTACAAACACCAAAGTTATGGCATTTCCGATCAATCAGTTATATGGCAGCTATAGGATATAGTCGGCCGATCCCGGCCGTTCCGACATATATACTGCGTGCAAAGGAAAGAAGGGTGTGTGCAAAGTTTCAATTCGATAGCTTTAAAACTGAGAGACAAGTTTGCGTAGAAACAGACAGACGGACAGACGGACATGGCTATATCAACTCAGGAGGTGATCCTGATCAAGAATATATATACTTTATAGGGTCGGAGATGTCTCCTTCACTGCGTTGCACACTTTTGACCAAAATTATAATACCCTCTGCAAGGGTATAAAAATCACGAGGGATTACCATATGTTTTAAAAGCCCTACCTTGCGATTTTCTAAATATTTCAGATATTAACAAGAAAGGAAAGCTAACTTCGGGCGGAGCCGAAGTTGATATACCCTTGCAGAATATTCTATAAATTATATTCTCCAAAATTATTCATATGATGCATTCTTAATACTCATAAAAAGTCCCAACTTCCCAACTTTAAAAACACCAAAGTTATGTCATTTCCAATCGTTCAGTTATATGGCAGCTATAAGATATAGTCGGCCGATCCTTATGAAATTTGGTAGGTCGGATTGATTGGCCAAAAATAAAACCCATAGAAAATCCCAATTTCCTTACTTTACAAACACCAAAGCTATTGCATTTCCGATCAATCAGTTATATGGCGGCTATAGGATATAGTCGTCCGATCCTTATAAAATTTGGTAGGTCGGATTGATTAGCCAAAAATAAGACCCATAGAAAATCCCAACTTCCAAACTTAAAAAACACCAAAGTTATGGCATTTCCGATCGTTCAGTTATATGGCAGCTATATGATATAGTGGCCCGATCCGGCTCGTTCCGACTTATATACTACCTGCAATAGAAAGACAACTTTTGGGAAAGTTTCAAGCAGATAGCTTTAAAACTGAGGGACTAGTTTGCGTAGAAACGGACGGACAGACGGACAGACGGACAGACGGACAGACGGACAGACGGACGGACAGACGGACGGACAGACGGACAGACGGACATGGCTATATCAACTCAGGAGGTGATCCTGATCAAGAATATATATACTTTATAGGGTCGGAAATGTCTCCTTCACTGCGTTGCAAACTTTTGACTGAAATTATAATACCCTCTGCAAGGGTATAAAAAAGTGTACGATCTTGCATGGGCAAACCTTATAAAGACACCCTACCTGTCGAATTGGTAACAATTTCAGCTATTGAGAAGTTTACGATCTTGATTGGGCAAATCTTATTAAGAAACCCTACCTTATTAAGTTTTTAATACAACACCTTTTTTTGACTTTGGAAATTTGAATATATTTTATCCAGTGGAGATAGCACATTTAATAGATAAAAGTTCCTACCTAATTTTGTACTAATTTGAAAGCCATTTCTTACGATATAACAACAAAAAATCACGAGGGATTACCATATGTTTTAAAAGCCCTACCTTGCGATTTTCTAAATATTTCAGATATTAAAAAGTGTACGATCTTGCATGGGCAAACCTTATAAAGACACCCTACCTTATTCATTTTTTAACACAGCACTTATTTTGATTTTTTAATTTTGCAAATATTTATGAAGTGGAGATAGTCAGTTCGACCGATTTAAGTTCCTACCTAATTTTTCTCTAATTCGTTAATAATTTTCTACGAAATAACCCCAAATAGTCACGAGTGATTACCATATGTTTTAAAAGTCCTACCTGTCAAATTGGTAACAATTTCAGCTATTGAGAAGTTTTCGATCTTGATTGGGCAAATCTTATTAAGAAACCCTACCTTATTAAGTTTTTAATACAACACCTTTTTTTGACTTTGGAAATTTGAATATATTTTATCCAGTGGAGATAGCACATTTAATAGATAAAAGTTCCTACCTAATTTTGTACTAATTTGAAAGCCATTTCTTACGATATAACACCAAACAAGAAAGGAAAGCTAACTTCGGGCGGAGCCGAAGTTGATATACCCTTGCAGAATACTCTGTAAATTATATTCTCCAAAATTATTCATATGATGCATTCTTAATACTCATAAAAAATCCCAACTTCCTAACTTTAAAAACACCAAAGTTATGGCATTTCCAATCGTTCAGTTATATGGCAGCTATAGGATATAGTCGGCCGATCCTTATGAAATTTGATAGGTCGGATTGATTGGCTAAAAATAAAACCCATAGAAAATCCCAACTTCCTAACTTAACAAAAACCAAAGTTATGGCATTTTCGATCAATCAGTTATATGGCAGCTATAGGATATAGTCGGCCGATCCTTATGAAATTTGATAGGTCGGATTGATTGGCCAAATATAAAACCCATAGAAAATTGGCTATATCAACTCAGGAGGTGATCCTGATCAAGAATATATATACTTTATAGGGTCGGAGATGTCTCCTTCACTGCGTTGCACACTTTTGACCAAAATTATAATACCCTCTGCAAGGGTATAAAAATCACGAGGGATTACCATATGTTTTAAAAGCCCTACCTTGCGATTTTCTAAATATTTCAGATATTAAAAAGTGTACGATCTTGCATGGGCAAACCTTATAAAGACACCCTACCTGTCGAATTGGTAACAATTTCAGCTATTGAGAAGTTTACGATCTTGATTGGGCAAATCTTATTAAGAAACCCTACCTTATTAAGTTTTTAATACAACACCTTTTTTTGACTTTGGAAATTTGAATATATTTTATCCAGTAGAGATAGCACATTTAATAGATAAAAGTTCCTACCTAATTTGGTACTAATTTGAAAGCCATTTCTTACGATATAACAACAAAAAATCACGAGGGATTACCATATGTTTTAAAGGCCCTACCTTGCGATTTTCTAAATATTTCAGATATTAAAAAATGTACGATCTTGCATGGGCAAACCTTATAAAGGCACCCTACCTTATTCAGTTTTTAATACAGCACTTATTTTGATTTTTTAATTTATCAAATATTTATGAAGTGGAGATAGTCAGTTCGATCGATTTAAGTTCCTACCTAATTTTTCTCTAATTCGTTAATAATTTTTTACGAAATAACCCCAAATAGTCACGAGTGATTACCATATGTTTTAAAAGTCCTACCTGTCGAATTGGTAACAATTTCAGCTATTGAGAAGTTTACGATCTTGATTGGGCAAATCTTATTGAGAAACCCTACCTTATTAAGTTTTTAATACCACACCTTTTTTTGACTTTGGAAATTTGAATATATTTTATCCAGTAGAGATAGCACATTTAATAGATAAAAGTTCCTACCTAATTTTGTACTAATTTGAAAGCCATTTCTTACGATATAACACCAAACAAGAAAGGAAAGCTAACTTCGGGCGGAGCCGAAGTTGATATACCCTTGCAGAATTCTCTATAATAATATTCTCCAAAATTATTCCTATGATGCATTCTTAATACTCATAAAAAATCCAAACTTCCTAACTTTAAAAACACCAAAGTTATGGCATTTCGAATCGTTCAGTTATATGGCAGCTATAGGATATAGTCGGCCGATCCTTATGAAATTTGGTAGGTCGGATTGATTGGCCAAATATAAAACCTGTAGAAAATCTTAACTTTCTAACTTTACAAACACCAAAGTTATGGCATTTCCAATCGTTCAGGTATATGGCAGCTATAGGATATAGTCGGCCGATCCTTATGAAATTTGGTAGGTCGGATTGATTGGCCAAATATAAAACCCATAGAAAATCCCAACTTTCTAACTTTACAAACACCAAAGTTATGGCATTTCCGATCAATCAGTTATATGGCAGCTATAGGATATAGTCGGCCGATCCTTATGAAATTTGGTACGTCGGATTGATTGGCCAAATATAATACCCATAGAGAGTCCCAACTTCCTAACTTAACAAACAGCAGAGTTATGGCATTTCCGATCAATCAGTTATATGGCAGCTATAGGATATAGTCGGCCGATCCCGGCCGTTCCGACTTATATACTGCGTGCAAAGGAAAGAAGGGTGTGTGCAAAGTTTCAATTCGATAGCTTTAAAACTGAGAGACTAGTTTGCGTAGAAACAGACAGACGGACAGACGGACAGACGGACATGGCTATATCAACTCAGGAGGTGATCCTGATCAAGAATATATATACTTTATAGGGTCGGAGATGCCTCCTTCACTGCGTTGCACACTTTTGACCAAAATTATAATACCCTCTGCAAGGGTATAAAAATCACGAGGGATTACCATATGTTTTAAAAGCCCTACTTGCGATTTTCTAAATATTTCAGATATTAAAAAGTGTACGATCTTGCATGGGCAAACCTTATAAAGACACCCTACCTTATTCAGTTTATAATACAGCACTTATTTTGATTTTTTAATTTTGCAAATATTTATGAAGTGGAGAAAATTATTAACGAATTAGAGAAAAATTAGGTAGGAACTTAAATCGGTCGAACTGACTAGACCGATTTAAGTTCCTACCTAATTTTTCTCTAATTCGTTAATAATTTTTTACGAAATAACCCCAAATAGTCACGAGTGATTACCATATGTTTTAAAAATCCTACCTGTCGAATTGGTAACAATTTCAGCTATTGAGAAGTTTACGATCTTGATTGGGCAAATCTTATTAAGAAACCCTACCTTATTAAGTTTTTAATACAACACCTTTTTTTGACTTTGGAAATTTGAATATATTTTATCCAGTGGAGATAGCACATTTAATAGATAAAAGTTCCTACCTAATTTTGTACTAATTTGTAAGCCATTTCTTACGGTATAACACCAAAAAATCACGAGGGATTATCATATGTTTTTAAAGCCCTACCTTGCGATTCTCTAAATATTTCAGATATTAAAAAGTGTACGATTTTGCATGGGCAAACCTTATAAAGACACAATACCTTATTCAGTTTTTAATACAGCACTTATTTTGATTTTTTAGTTTTGCAAATATTATATTTATGAAGTGGAGATGGTCAGTTCGACCGATTTAAGTTCCTACCTAATTTTTCTCTAATTCGTTAATAATTTTTTACGAAATAACCCCAAAAAGTCACGAGGGATTACCATATGTTTTAAAAGTCCTACCTGTCGAATTAGTAACAATTTCAGCTATTGAGACGTTTACGATCTTGATTGGGCAAACCTTATTAAGAAACCCTACATTATTAAGATTTTAATATAACACCTTTTTTTGATTTTGGAAATTTGAATATATTTTATCCAGTGGAGATAGCTAGTTTAATAGATAAAAGTCCCTACCTAATTTTGTACTAATTTGAAAGCCATTTCTTACGATATAAAACCAAAAAATCACGAGGGATTACCCTATGTTTTAAGAGTTATTTAGTTTCCGAACTTGACGAGGAGGACCTTATTTAGAAACTTTACCTAATTTAGTTTTTAATGCAACACCTTTTTTAATTTGATATATTTGCATATTTTTTATAAAATGAAGATAGTCTGTTTGAAAGATTAAATTTCCTATCTAATTTTGTTCTAATTTCTAAGCCATTTCTTACGATATAACACCAAAAAATCACGAGGGATTATCATATGTTTTTAAAGCCCTACCTTGCGATTTTCTAAATATTTCAGATATTAAAAAGTGTACGATCTTGCATGGGCAAACCTTCAGTTTTCAATACAGCACTTATTTTGATTTTTTAAGTTTGCAAATATTTATGAAGTGGAGAGAGTCAGTTCGACCGATTTAAGTTCCTTCGCAATTTTGTTCTAATTCGTAATCATTTTTTACGAAATAACACTAAAAAATCTCAAGGGAATACCGTATGTTTTAAGAGTTATTTAGTTTCCGAACTTGACGAGGAGAACCTTATTTAGAAACCCTACCTAATTTAGTTTTTAATACAACACCTTTTTTAATTTGATATATTTGCATATTTTTTATAAAATGAAGATAGTCTGTTTGAAAGATTAAAGTTCCTATCTAATTTTCTACTAATTTGTAAGCCATTTCTTACGATATAACACCAAAAAATCACGAAGGATTATCATATGTTTTTAAAGCCCTACCTTCCGATTTTCTAAATATTTCAGATATTAAAAAGTGTACGATCTTGCATGGGCAAACCTTATAAAGACACAATACCTTATTCAGTTTTTAATACAGCACTTATTTTGATTTTTTAATTTTGCAAATATTTATGAAGTGGAGATAGTCAGTTCGACCGATTTAAGTTCCTACCTAATTTTTCTCTAATTCGTTAATAATTTTTTACAACATAACCCCAAATAGTCACGAGTGATTAACATATGTTTTAAAAGTGCTACCTGTCGAATTGGTAACAATTTCAGCTATTGAGAAGTTCACGATCTTGATTGGGCAAATCTTATTTAGAACCCCTACCTTATTAAGGTTTTAATACAACACCTTTTTTTGACTTTGGAAATTTGAATATATTTTATCCGGTGGAGATAGCACATTTAATAGATAAAAGTTCCTACCTAATTTTGTACTAATTTGTAAGCCATTTCTTACGGTATAACACCAAAAAATCACGAGGGATTATCATATGTTTTTAAAGCCCTACCTTCCGATTTTCTAAATATTTCAGATATTAAAAAGTGTACGATCTTGCATGGGCAAACCTTATAAAGACACCCTACCTTATTCAGTTTTTAATACAGCACTTATTTTGATTTTTTAATTTTGCAAATATTTATGAAGTGGAGATAGTCAGTTCGACCGATTTAAGTTCCTACCTAATTTTGTTCTGATTTATAAATCATTTTTTACGAAATAACACTAAAAAGATCTCGAGGGAATACCGTATGTTTTAAGAGTTATTTAGTTTCCGATCTTGATGAGGAGGACCTTATTTAGAAACCCTACCTAATTTAGTTTTTAATACAACACCTTTTTTAATTTGATATATTTGCATATCTTTTATAAAATGAAGATAGTCTGTTTGAAAGATTAAAGTTCCTTTCTAATTTTGTACTAATTTGTAAGCCATTTCTTACGATATAACACCAAAAAATCACGAGGGATTATCATATGTTTTTAAAGCCCTACCTTCCGATTTTCTAAATATTTCAGATATTAAAAAGTGTACGATCTTGCATGGGCAAACCTTATAAAGACACCCTACCTTATTCAGTTTTTAATACAGCACTTATTTTGATTTTTTAATTTTGCAAATATTTATGAAGTGGAGATAGTAGGTTCGACCGATTTAAGTTCCTACCTAATTTTTCTTTAATTCGTTAATACTTTTTTACGAAATAACCCCAAAAAGTCACTAGGGATTACCATATGTTTTAAAAGTCCTACATGTCGAATTGGTAACAATTTCAGCTATTGAGAAGTTTACGATCTTGATTGGGCAAACCTTATTAAGAAACCCTACCTTATTAAGGTTTTAATACAACACCTTTTTTTGACTTTGGAAATTTGAATATATTTTATCCAGTGGATAAAATAGCACATTTAATAGATAAAAGTTCCTACCTAATTTTGTACTAATTTGAAAGCCATTTCTTACGATATAACACCAAAAAATCACGAGGGATTACCATATGTTTTAAAAGCCCTACCTTGCGATTTTCTAAATATATCAGATATTTAGAAATGTTGCCAACTATTGCAGTTATTTAGAAGTTTACGATCTTGAATGGGCGGACCTTGTCGAGAAACACATTTTTATTTAGTTTATAAAACACCTTTTTAGATTTTTAAAATTTGCATATTTTTATCATTTGGAGAAAGTCAGTTTGACACATTTCATTTTCAACGAAATTGTTACTGGTTAACAGATAATTTTGTATGAAATAAAACCAAAATCACAAGGAATTACCGTAGTATTTAAAAGTCCTTCCTCCCAAATTACGATCTTTAATGTGCTTGCCATATAAAATAACCTTTCAAAATGTAGTTGTCAATACAACAACTTTTTAGATTTGTTAAATTTTTTATTATGTGGAGAAAGTTTTATATTTTATGAATTGTAGGTAATCAGCGTGGCAGACTAAAGTTCCTACCTAATTTTGTACTATTTTTTAAACCATTTTTACGAAATATTACCAAAAATTCACGAGGAATATAGTTATACAAAAGTTTACGATCTTGAATGGAAGAAAGGTTCGCATGGGCAAATTTTATTAAGACACCCTACCTAGTTTGGTTTTTAATACCACACTATTTTTGATTTTTTTAATTTTGCTTATATTTTATGAAGTCGAGATAGTCAGTTCGACCGATTTAAGTTCGTACCTAATTTTGTTCTAATTCGTAAATCATTTTTTACGAAATAACACTAAAAAATCTCGAGGGAATACCGTATGTTTTAAGAGTTATTTAGTTTCCGATCTTGATGAGGAGGACCTTATTTAGAAACCCTACCTAATTTTGCAGCTTGGCATTTTATTAAGACACCCTACCTAGTTTGGTTTTCAATACCACACTATTTTTGATTTTTTTAATTTTGCATATATTTTATGAAGTCGAGATAGTCAGTTCGACCGATTTAAGTTCCTACGTAATTTTGTTCTGATTTATAAATCATTTTTTACGAAATAACACTAAAAAGATCTCGAGGGAATACCGTATGTTTTAAGAGTTATTTAGTTTCCGATCTTGATGAGGAGGACCTTATTTAGAAACCCTACCTAATTTAGTTTTTAATACAACACCTTTTTTAATTTGATATATTTGCATATTTTTTATAAAATGAAGATAGTCTGTTTGAAAGATTAAAGTTCCTTTCTAATTTTGTACTAATTTGTAAGCCATTTCTTACGATATAACACCAAAAAATCACGAGGGATTATCATATGTTTTTAAAGCCCTACCTTCCGATTTTCTAAATATTTCAGATATTAAAAAGTGTACGATCTTGCATGGGCAAACCTTATAAAGACACCCTACCTTATTCAGTTTTTAATACAGCACTTATTTTGATTTTTTAATTTTGCAAATATTTATGAAGTGGAGATAGTAGGTTCGACCGATTTAAGTTCCTACCTAATTTTTCTTTAATTCGTTAATACTTTTTTACGAAATAACCCCAAAAAGTCACTAGGGATTACCATATGTTTTAAAAGTCCTACATGTCGAATTGGTAACAATTTCAGCTATTGAGAAGTTTACGATCTTGATTGGGCAAACCTTATTAAGAAACCCTACCTTATTAAGGTTTTAATACAACACCTTTTTTTGACTTTGGAAATTTGAATATATTTTATCCAGTGGATAAAATAGCACATTTAATAGATAAAAGTTCCTACCTAATTTTGTACTAATTTGAAAGCCATTTCTTACGATATAACACCAAAAAATCACGAGGGATTACCATATGTTTTAAAAGCCCTACCTTGCGATTTTCTAAATATATCAGATATTTAGAAATGTTGCCAACTATTGCAGTTATTTAGAAGTTTACGATCTTGAATGGGCGGACCTTGTCGAGAAACACATTTTTATTTAGTTTATAAAACACCTTTTTAGATTTTTAAAATTTGCATATTTTTATCATTTGGAGAAAGTCAGTTTGACACATTTCATTTTCAACGAAATTGTTACTGGTTAACAGATAATTTTGTATGAAATAAAACCAAAATCACAAGGAATTACCGTAGTATTTAAAAGTCCTTCCTCCCAAATTACGATCTTTAATGTGCTTGCCATATAAAATAACCTTTCAAAATGTAGTTGTCAATACAACAACTTTTTAGATTTGTTAAATTTTTTATTATGTGGAGAAAGTTTTATATTTTATGAATTGTAGGTAATCAGCGTGGCAGACTAAAGTTCCTACCTAATTTTGTACTATTTTTTAAACCATTTTTACGAAATATTACCAAAAATTCACGAGGAATATAGTTATACAAAAGTTTACGATCTTGAATGGAAGAAAGGTTCGCATGGGCAAATTTTATTAAGACACCCTACCTAGTTTGGTTTTTAATACCACACTATTTTTGATTTTTTTAATTTTGCTTATATTTTATGAAGTCGAGATAGTCAGTTCGACCGATTTAAGTTCGTACCTAATTTTGTTCTAATTCGTAAATCATTTTTTACGAAATAACACTAAAAAATCTCGAGGGAATACCGTATGTTTTAAGAGTTATTTAGTTTCCGATCTTGATGAGGAGGACCTTATTTAGAAACCCTACCTAATTTTGCAGCTTGGCATTTTATTAAGACACCCTACCTAGTTTGGTTTTCAATACCACACTATTTTTGATTTTTTTAATTTTGCATATATTTTATGAAGTCGAGATAGTCAGTTCGACCGATTTAAGTTCCTACGTAATTTTGTTCTGATTTATAAATCATTTTTTACGAAATAACACTAAAAAGATCTCGAGGGAATACCGTATGTTTTAAGAGTTATTTAGTTTCCGATCTTGATGAGGAGGACCTTATTTAGAAACCCTACCTAATTTAGTTTTTAATACAACACCTTTTTTAATTTGATATATTTGCATATTTTTTATAAAATGAAGATAGTCTGTTTGAAAGATTAAAGTTCCTTTCTAATTTTGTACTAATTTGTAAGCCATTTCTTACGATATAACACCAAAAAATCACGAGGGATTATCATATGTTTTTAAAGCCCTACCTTCCGATTTTCTAAATATTTCAGATATTAAAAAGTGTACGATCTTGCATGGGCAAACCTTATAAAGACACCCTACCTTATTCAGTTTTTAATACAGCACTTATTTTGATTTTTTAATTTTGCAAATATTTATGAAGTGGAGATAGTAGGTTCGACCGATTTAAGTTCCTACCTAATTTTTCTTTAATTCGTTAATACTTTTTTACGAAATAACCCCAAAAAGTCACTAGGGATTACCATATGTTTTAAAAGTCCTACATGTCGAATTGGTAACAATTTCAGCTATTGAGAAGTTTACGATCTTGATTGGGCAAACCTTATTAAGAAACCCTACCTTATTAAGGTTTTAATACAACACCTTTTTTTGACTTTGGAAATTTGAATATATTTTATCCAGTGGATAAAATAGCACATTTAATAGATAAAAGTTCCTACCTAATTTTGTACTAATTTGAAAGCCATTTCTTACGATATAACACCAAAAAATCACGAGGGATTACCATATGTTTTAAAAGCCCTACCTTGCGATTTTCTAAATATATCAGATATTTAGAAATGTTGCCAACTATTGCAGTTATTTAGAAGTTTACGATCTTGAATGGGCGGACCTTGTCGAGAAACACATTTTTATTTAGTTTATAAAACACCTTTTTAGATTTTTAAAATTTGCATATTTTTATCATTTGGAGAAAGTCAGTTTGACACATTTCATTTTCAACGAAATTGTTACTGGTTAACAGATAATTTTGTATGAAATAAAACCAAAATCACAAGAAATTACCGTAGTATTTAAAAGTCCTTCCTCCCAAATTACGATCTTTAATGTGCTTGCCATATAAAATAACCTTTCAAAATGTAGTTGTCAATACAACAACTTTTTAGATTTGTTAAATTTTTTATTATGTGGAGAAAGTTTTATATTTTATGAATTGTAGGTAATCAGCGTGGCAGACTAAAGTTCCTACCTAATTTTGTACTATTTTTTAAACCATTTTTACGAAATATTACCAAAAATTCACGAGGAATATAGTTATACAAAAGTTTACGATCTTGAATGGAAGAAAGGTTCGCATGGGCAAATTTTATTAAGACACCCTACCTAGTTTGGTTTTTAATACCACACTATTTTTGATTTTTTTAATTTTGCTTATATTTTATGAAGTCGAGATAGTCAGTTCGACCGATTTAAGTTCGTACCTAATTTTGTTCTAATTCGTAAATCATTTTTTACGAAATAACACTAAAAAATCTCGAGGGAATACCGTATGTTTTAAGAGTTATTTAGTTTCCGATCTTGATGAGGAGGACCTTATTTAGAAACCCTACCTAATGTAGTTTTTAATACAACAACTTTTTTAATTTGATATATTTGCATATTTTTTATAAAATGAAGATAGTCTGTTTGAAAGATTAAAGTTCCTACCTAATTTTGTACTAATTTGTAAGCCATTTCTTACGATATAACACCAAAAAATCACGAGGGATTATCATATGTTTTTAAAGCCCTATTTTCCGATTTTCTAAATATTTCAGATATTAAAAAGTGTACGATCTTGCATGGGCAAACCTTATAAAGACACCCTACATTATTCAGTTTTTAATACAGCACTTATTTTGATTTTTTAATTTTGCAAATATTTATGAAGTGGAGATAGTCAGTTCGACCGATTTAAGTTCCTACCTAATTTTTCTCTAATTCGTTAATAATTTTTTACGACATAACCCCAAATAGTCACGAGTGATTAACATATGTTTTAAAAGTGCTACCTGTCGAATTAGTAACAATTTCAGCTATTGAGACGTTTACGATCTTGATTGGGCAAACCTTATTAAGAAACCCTACATTATTAAGATTTTAATATAACACCTTTTTTTGATTTTGGAAATTTGAATATATTTTATCCAGTGGAGATAGCTAGTTTAATAGATAAAAGTTCCTACCTAATTTTATACTAATTTGAAAGCCATTTCTTACGATATAACACCAAAAAATCACGAGGGATTACCATATGTTTTAAAAGCCCTACCTTGCGATTTTCTAAATATATCAGACATTTAGAAATGTTGCCAACTATTGCAGTTATTTAGAAGTTTACGATCTTGAATGGGCGGACCTTGTCGAGAAACACATTTTTATTTAGTTTATAAAACACCTTTTTAGATTTTTAAAATTTGCGTATTTTTATCATTTGGAGAAAGTCAGTTTGACATATTTCATTTTGTTACTGGTTAACAGATAATTTTGTATGAAATAAAACCAAAATCACAAGGAATTACCGTAGTATTTAAAAGTCCTTCCTCCTAAATTGCTAACTATTTCAGTTAGTTAGAAGTTTACGATCTTTAATGTGCTTGCCATATAAAATAACCTTTCAAAATGTAGTTGTCAATACAAAAACTTTTTAGATTTGTTAAATTTTTTATTATGTGGAGAAAGTTGTATATTTTATGAATTGTAGGTAATCAGCGTGGCAGACTAAAGTTCCTACCTAATTTTGTACAATTTTTTAAACCATTTTTTACGAAATATTACCAAAAATTCACGAGGAATATAGTTATACAAAAGTTTACGATCTTGAATGGGAGAAAGGTTCGCATGGGCAAATTTTATTAAGACACCCTACCTAGTTTTGTTTTTAATACCACACTATTTTTGATTTTTTTAATTTTGCATATATTTTATGAAGTCGAGATAGTCAGTTCGACCGATTTAAGTTCCTACCTAATTTTGTTCTAATTCGTAAATCATTTTTTACGAAATAACACTAAAAAATCTCTAGGGAATACATTTTTTACGAAATAACACAAAAAAAATCGCGAGGGAATACCGTATGTTTTAAGAATTATTTAGTTTCCGATCTTGATGAGGAGGACCTTATTTAGAAACCCTACCTAATTTAGCAGCTTGGCATTTTATTAAGACACCCTACCTAGCTTGGTTTTCAATACCACACTATTTTTGATTTTTTTAATTTTGCATATTTTTTATGAAGTCGAGATAGTCAGTTCGACCGATTTAAGTTCCTACCTAATTTTGTTTTAATTCGTAATTCATTTTTTACGAAATAACACTAAAAAATCTCTAGGGAATACATTTTTTACGAAATAACACAAAAAAAATCGCGAGGGAATACCGTATGTTTTAAGAGTTATTTAGTTTCCGATCTTGATGAGGAGGACCTTATTTAGAAACCCTACCTAATGTAGTTTTTAATACAACAACTTTTTTAATTTGATATATTTGCATATTTTTTATAAAATGATGATAGTCTGTTTGAAAGATTAAAGTTCCTTTCTAATTTTTACTAATTTGTAAGCCATTTCTTACGATATAACACCAAAAAATCACGAGGGATTATCATATGTTTTTAAAGCCCTATTTTCCTATATTAAAAAGAGTACGATCTTGCATGGGTAAACCTTATAAAGACACCCTACCTTATTCAGTTTTTAATACAGCACTTATTTTGATTTTTTAATTTTGCAAATATTTAGGAAGTGGAGATAGTCAGTTCGACCGATTTAAGTTCCTACCTAATTTTTCTCTAATTCGTAAATAATTTTTTACGAAATAACCCCAAATAGTCACGAGTGATTACCATATGTTTTAAAAGTCCTACCTGTCGAATTGGTAACAATTTCAGCTATTGAGAAGTTTACGATCTTGATTGGGCAAATCTTATTAAGAAACCCTACCTTATTAAGTTTTTAATACAACACCTTTTTTTGACTTTGGAAATTTGAATATATTTTATCCAGTGGAGATAGCACATTTAATAGATAAAAGTTCCTACCTAATTTTGTACTAATTTGAAAGCCATTTCTTACGATGTAACACCAAACAAGAAAGGAAAGCTAACTTCGGGCGGAGTCGAAGTTGATATACCCTTGCAGAATACTCTGTAAATTATATTCTCCAAAATTATTCATATGATGCATTCTTAATACTCATAAAAAATCCTAACTTCCTAACTTTAAAAACACCAAAGTTATGACATTTCCAATCGTTCAGTTATATGGCAGCTATAGGATATAGTCGGCCGATCCTTATGAAATTCGGCATGTCGGATTGATTAGCCAAATATAAAACCGATAGAAAGTCCCAACATTCTAACTTTACAAACACCAAAGTTATGACATTTCCAATCGTTCAGTTATATGGCAGCTATAGGATATAGTCGGCCGATCCTTATGAAATTCGGCATGTCGGATTGATTAGCCAAATATAAAACCGATAGAAAATCCCAACATTCTAACTTTACAAACACCAAAGTTATGGCATTTCCGATCAATCAGTTATATGGCAGCTATAGGATATAGTCGGCCGATCCTTATGAAATTCGGCATGTCGGACTGATTAGCCAAATATAAAACCCTTAGAAAATCCCAACATTCTAACTTTACAAACACCAAAGATATGGCATTTCCGATCAATCAGTTATATGGCAGCTATAGGATATAGTCGGCATATCCCGGCCGTTCCGACATATATACTGCGTGCAAAAGAAAGAAGGGTATGTGCAAAGTTTCAATTCGATAGCTTTAAAACTGAGAGACTAGTTTGCGTAGAAACAGACAGACGGACAGACAGACGGACAGACGGACAGACGGACAGACGGACATGGCTATATCAACTCAGGAGGTGATCCTGATCAAGAATATATATACTTTATAGGGTCGGAGATGTCTCCTTCACTGCGTTGCACACTTTTGACCAAAATTATAATACCCTCTGCAAGGGTATAAAAATCAGGAGGGATTACCATATGTTTTAAAAGCCCTACCTTGCGATTTTCTAAATATATCAGACATTTAGAAATGTTGCCAACTATTGCAGTTATTTAGAAGTTTACGATCTTGAATGGGCGGACCTTGTCGAGAAACACATTTTAATTTAGTTTATAAAACACCTTTTTAGATTTTTAAAATTTGCATATTTTTATCATTTGGAGAAAGTCAGTTTGACATATTTCATTTTCAACGAAATTGTTACTGGTTAACAGATAATTTTGTATGAAATAAAACCAAAATCACAAGGAATTACCGTAGTATTTAAAAGTCTTTCCTCCCAAATTGCTAACTATTTCAGTTAGTTAGAAGTTTACGATCTTTAATGTGCTTGCCAAAAATAAAAAAAAAATAACCTTTCAAAATGTAGTTGTCAATACAACAACTTTTTAGATTTGTTAAATTTTTTATTATGTGGAGAAAGTTGTTTCTTTTATGAATTGTAGGTAATCAGCGTGGCAGACTAAAGTTCCTACCTAATTTTGTACTATTTTTTAAACCATTTTTTACGAAATATTATCAAAAATTCACGAGGAATATAGTTATTCAAAAGTATACGATCTTAAATGGCAGAACGTTATAAAGAAAACCTACCTAATTTAGTTTGGAAATTTGCATATATTTTATCGAGTCGAGATAGTCAGTTTCATAGATAAAAGTTCCTACCTAATTTTGTACTAATTTGTAAGCCATTTCTTACAAAATAACAACACAAAATCACGAGGGAATACCGTATGTTTTAAGAGTTATTTAGTTTCCGAACTTGACGAGGAGGACCTTATTTAGAAACCCTACCTAATTTAGTTTTTAATACAACACCATTTTTAATTTGATATATTTGCATATTTATTATGAAATGAAGATAGTCTGTTTGACAGATTAAAGTTCCGACCTAATTTTGTACTAATTTGTAATCCATTTCTTACGATATAACACCAAAACATCACGAGGGATTACCATATGTTTAAAAAGCCCTACCTTCCGATTTTCTAAGTATTTCAGATATTTAAAAGTGTACGATCTTGCATGGGCAAACCTTATTAAGACACCCTACCTTATTTAGTTTTTAATACAACACCTTTTTTAATTTGTTATATCTTATGAAATGAAGATAGTCTGTTTGTCAGATTAAAGTTCCTACCTAGTTTTGTACTATTTGTAAGCCATTTCTTACGATAAAGCACCAAAAAATACCGAGGGATTGACATATGTTTTAAAAGCCCTACCTCCCGATTTTATAAATATATCAGATATTTAGAAATGTTGCCAACTATTGCAGTTATTCAGAAGTTAACCAATTTGAATAAGCGGACCTTGTCGAGAAACACATTTTAATTTATTTTTTAATACACCATTTTGATTTTTAAAATTTGCATATTTTTATCATTTGGAGAAAATCAGTTTGACATATTCCTTTTTCTACGAAAAAAAATCACGAGGGATTACCGCATGTTTTAAAAGTCCTACCTATCAAGTAATTCAGAAATTTACAATTATTTTTTTATGATTATCAGATAATTTTCATGAAATAACACAACAAAATATTGTTTTTGCTACCCCTTTCAGATATTTAGAAAAAACCCTAGTTCAGTTTATAGTATAACCCCTTTTTTATATTTTTTAATTTGAATATATTTAATAGAAGGTTCACACCTAATTTTGTACTAATTTGTAAGCCATTTTTATGAAATAGCGTGAAGGAAGCAAACTGACTTGCGACTTCTAATAAATTTTTTTTGGTTAACAAATAGTTAAGAAATACAATAAACAAATCACGATTGATTACCGTATGTTTTAAAATCAAATAGGGAGTTGCTAACTATTTTAGATATTCAAAAGTTTATCTTGAATGGGAGAGCCTTATTATGATATCCTATATAACCCTTTTCTGATTTTGGAAATTTGCATTTCTTTTATCAAGAGTAGATAGTCAGCTTCATAGATAAACTTCCTACCTAATTTTACGAAATAACACGAAAAAATCACGAGGAATTTCCATATGTTTTAAAAGCCCTACCTTCCAATTTGATTAAAATATTTTAGTTTTTTAGAAGTCATTAATAGACCCTACCTTATTTAGTTTTTTATACAACACCTATTTTGATTTTTTAATTTTGCATATCTTGGAGTGGAGATAGTCAGTTCGACCGATTAAAGTTCCTACCTAATTTGTTTCTAATTCGAAAATCATTTTTTAAGAAATAACACCAAAGAGTCACGAGGGATTACCATATGTTTTTTAAGTCATACATGCCGAGTTGCTAACAATTTCAGTTATTCAGAAGTTTACGATATTGACTGGACGAACTTTATTAAGAAGCCCTACCTAATCAAGTTTTTAATACAACACCTTTTTTTAATTTGGAAATTTGAATTTATTTTATCAAGCGGAGATAGCCAGTTTAATAGATAAAAGTTCCTGTCTAATAGTCTACTAATTTGTAACCCATTTCTTACGAAATAACAACACAAAATCACGAGGGAATACCGTATGTTTTAAGAGTTATTTAGTTTATTTAGAAACCCTACCTAATTTGGTTTTAAATACAGCACCTTTTTTAATTTGTTATATTTGCATATATTCTATGAAATTAAGATAGTCTGTTTCACATATTAAAGTTCCTTCCTAATTTTATACTAATTTGTAAGCCATTTCTTACGATATATCACGAAAAAATCACGGGGTTATAACCATATTTTTTAAATTCCAATCTTCCGATTTTCTAAATATATCAGATATTTAGAAATGTTGAATGGTCGGACCTTGTCGAGAAACACATTTTAATTTAGTTTCTAAAACATCTTTTTAAATTTTTTAAATTAGCATTTTTTATCATTTGGAGAAAGTCAGTTTGACATATTTCATTTTCTACGAATTACCGTAATATTTAGCATATTTGAAAGTTTCCTCCCAAATTGCTAACTATTTCGGTTATTCAGAAGTATACAAACTTTAATGGGCTTGCCATATAATAAAACCTTTCCAAATTCAGTTGTCAAAACAAAAACTTTTCGGATTTTTAAAATTTGTTATATATTTTATCATGTGGAGAAAGGTGTACATTTTGTGAATTGTAGGTAGTCAGCTTGGCAGATTAAAGTTCCTAATTTTAAACCATTAAACTATTTTTTAAACCATTTTTTAGGAAATATCACCAACAATTTACGAGATATATAGGTATTTCACCATATTTTCACCAAAAATCACGAGGGATTACCGTATGTTTTAACAGTCCTGTTCTCCGATGTTGCTATTTCAGTTATTTAGAAGTTTACTATCTTGAACAGGGGAACCTTATTTAGAAATCCTACCTAATTTTGTTTTTAATACAACACCTTTTTTAATTTGATATATTTGCATATATTCTATGAAATGAAGATAGTGTGTTTGTCAGATAAAAGTTTCTTCCCAATTTTGTACTAATTTTTAAGCCATTTCTTACGATATAACACCAAAAAATCAGAAGGGATAACCATATGTTTTAAAAGCCCTACCTTCCGATTTTCTAAATATTTCAGATATTAAAAAGATATTGCATGGACAAACCTTATAAAGACACCCTACCTTATTCAGTTTTTAATACAGCACTTATTTTGATTTTTTAATTTTGCAAATATTTATGAAGTGGGGATAGTCAGTTCGACCGATTTAAGTTCCTACCTAATTTTTCTCTAATTCGTTAATAATTTTTTACGAAATAACCCCAAAAAGTCACGAGGGATTACCATATGTTTTAAAAGCCCTGCCTTTCGATTTTCTCAATATTTCAGATATAAGCCGATCTTGCATTGGCAAATTTTATTAAGACACCTTACCTTTTTTAGTATTTAATATAATACTTATTTTGATTTTTTAATTTTGTGTGCCTTTTATGAAGTGGAGATAGTCAGTTTGACAGATTAAAGTTCCTACATTATTTTGTACGAATTTATAAACCTTTTTTTATGAAACAGCACCAAAAAGTCACGAGCGATTTCAGTATGTTTTAAAAGTCCTTACCTTCCGAGTTGCCAACTATTGCAGTTATTCAGATTATAAACAACCTTGAAAGGGCGTACCTTGTCGAGAAACCCATTTTAATTTATTTTTTAATACACCTTTTTAGATTTTTAAAATTTGCATATTTTTATCATTTGGAGAAAGTCAGTTTTACCTATTGTGTTTTCTACGAAATTGTTACTGGTTAACAGATAATTTTTTATGAAATAACACAAAAAAAGGAATTACAGATTATTAAAAGTCCTTCCTCCCTGTTATTCAGAAGTTTACAATATTTAATGGGCTTGCCACATAAAGAAAACTTTTTAAATTTAGTTATCAATACAACACCTTTTTAGGTTTTTGAAATTTGAATATTCCTTATATTTTTTCAAGTTGCTACCTATTTTAGTTTTAAAGAAATTTACGATCTTGAATAGGCAAACACGAAAAAACTCTACCCCTTTATATGGGCAGAATTTAAATGAGTGCTTATTGCCAAAACATCTCAATTAAGTTTTGTGTACATGCAAAGCGTGTACGAAAATTTTAAACATTTAAAGAGAGTAATGAACCGATTTTTAATCACATTGCCATTGACGGAAAAATGTATGTTTTAAAGGTCATATTTTCAAGTTGCTAATCTTTCACTTATTCAAAAGTTTACACCCTGAAATGGTGTAAATGCCGAAACCATTCCAAATTCTGTGTTTAATAAAGAACTTTTTAAGATAATTTACATAAATTTTATCATGTGGAGAGAGTCATTATGACAAAATAAAGTTTCTACCTAAGTTATTTAAGAACTTTTCAGTTAAACTTTAAGAAATAATGGAAATATGGATTTACCATAAGTTTTAATTTCCCTATTAAGAAACCCTACATAAATAGATTTTACTAACAACACATTTTGTTATAATTTGTAATAATTAAAAACACCATACCTCTGTGAATTTAAATAATAATAATATTATTAATAATAATAATAAAATTAATAATAATAGTAATATTAATAAAAATAATAATACCTTCGGAAGAAACACTACCTAATTCAGTTTCTAATAAAACCTTTTCAGATTTTCCAAATTTGCACGTCATTTATCAAGCGGCGAAAGTCAGTTTGACAGATAAAGGTTCCTACCTATTTTTTTTCTAATACGTAGACAATTTTTTGTAAAAGAAACCCCACTTAATTATATTTCAGCACCTTTTGGGATTTTTTATAATTAGCATATCTTTTACTTTTGACTTTTGTAAAGTTTCTACCTAATTTTTTTCTAGTATTCAGACAATAATAATGGTTTTAAAAGACCGACATCCCAGTTACCACACCTTTCAATTATTCATAATCCACCATTTCAATTTTAACAATATGTGTTCCTTATATCATGAAGAGAATATAACAAGTTTTCAAAAAACTTTTTTATGAAAAAACACCAACAAATTCACAAAGGAATTACGTAAAGCTCTTCCCTTATAAAAAACCTTACATAATTCGATTTTACTAACACCTTTTTCGATTTTTACTAATTGCCGTTTTAGAGTTTTTTACGAAATAATATCTTAAAAAACCGTACCTGAAATTTGAATATTAATAGGATTTTCTTAATTGTCAATTCTTAAGCTTATTCTGTCTATATTACGTACTTTTTCAATATACGCATATTTAAATATGTATCCCAAAATCCTACCTGTTTAGTCGCTGTGTCTTTTTAGTTTTGAAGGCTTTAGTTCTTAAGTCTAGACATACAATTCATTTCCTGTATATTTTTTGATTTATCTGCTTGATCCATAGACTTACAGTATATTGGTATACCAGATATTTTTATTTTTTGAAAACAATTTATTTATTATAATTGAGCTTTTTAAGTTATTGGGCTGAAATACAGGGGAAGATTTATTTAATACTTAAAAGTGGTTTATTAAAATTAAATTACCCAATAATTGATTAGTTATAAAAAATATTATTTCCTTATATTTATGTTCATTAATGTAATAATTGTTATACATTAAAACAATTGTGCCCTCCAAATATAGGCGTCCTAAAAATGTGAAGAAATATAATTCCGGAATATACATACTTTAAAGCTGAACTTTAAAACCTTTATGTGCTCTTTCCAATACCGACTTTCAGCGTTCAACAGAGATTAGGGACAGTTGTTCCGATTTTTCGATTAGATTTGAGAATATCAAAGTGTATTTGTTTGATAGGCGAAGACTACTTGGCATATTGATATAAAGCCCCTTCCTTCGTGGATTAATTCAGGTAACGCTACCCTTTAGTTCGATGGAATAACTGAAATCGGATCTAAGCTTGAAATAAAAAATATGACGAGCGAATGTTTCGAGATTTATTATTGGAATTTTAAAATTTTTTATTCACTTTTTCTGTGGCTTTTCCATTAAGAAGCTCTTTTGTTAATCTTTTTTCCATTTTTGTTGTGATTCGACAAGTAAATTTACATCAGTACAGGTATATCTTAATTCGTGAAGTGTAAAAAAACAAAAATTTTAACATTTTCAGGTATTTAAGAACAAGAGTGAGACATTGTTGGTGTGGAAGTATCTTCCGTATTGACTTTACAACTGAATATAAAAACAAAATTAATTAATTTCAACCAACTGGCAGGGTATTCGACCTCGTTGGTTCAATTACTAATCCAGAGACGATGTGTCATCGAACAGATTCAATACGCTGCCAAGTTCAACTGATCACTTGTTTGTTTGTCTGCCCGTTGTGGAACTTTGTTCGATGATAGTGAGCCACAGAGGGCCTTTCGGTTGGTTCCCGTTCACCCTTAGTGGAGCAGAGAAGTCGATACACCAGTGTTCCTATAACACAATCCGCTCAATCAATCTGATAGAATCGAGCACCCTGGCTGGTCCGCGACCCCAGACACTATATATACTCGTATACATAACATATGTAATCTCAGTCACGGTCGCAGACACAGCTTTCGGAAAAACGCTGCATTCGGGCCGGGTGCGTTTTTAGCACCCATATACCCCCATGCTCGCGCAGGGATCGACTTTTCACGGATCGATATCAACTTTCAACGCCCAACTATAAAGTTTAGAGAAAGAAATACATATTGCTTGGTTAGGTGGTATGGCAGAGTTGCATATAGAGATGGTTACAAATATGATTAACAACTAAGTAAATGTTAAACGACTACGAACTAGATAAATAAGAATGCCAATAGAAGCGAGGGAAACGCGGTGAGACATCGTCAAGCTGGAAAGTTTTCCGCTGAAAGACAATATGGATCGTTATCGGGGAGCAAACAAACCGGAGGGAAAGGCAAACAAAGAGCACGGCCAGTGTACAATGTACACCTCAGCAGTTGCCGTTGCCATCCAATTACAATACTTCCATATGTATGGGCTCTGAATATATATGTGGCAATGTGTATGTATACCCGAGCGGTAACAGACGTAAACAGGGCGTTTGAGTACGCTATTTTTAGAGAGAGACAGTTGGTGGCCTTTCGATCCGGGGGTTGCAAACGAGAATCGAGAACATTCGACTTGTATTTAAATAGAAATGTATAATACTGGGGAAAATATTCCCTCTTACGCAACATGGTGAAATCGCATTTACTAAAAAATGACTCTCAAAGCGACGTTTGAAAACGCAGAGATCCATGAGTTTTTATTAACTACGTCTTAGGCTTAGGTTGGGCTTACGAATAGAAATAGAACACGCTGGTTTCGCTGCTGTGTATGTATACCTGGCTTCCTATCCCAATTTATCAAATCCGCACGTCAGGGCCGTCGCCATCCGACTCAGAGAATGGTCCCGCTTTTCCTGGTTAGACTGCCTTAGACTGCCTCTGCCTAGTAGGTCACTTTCTAGCCAAAATCTAGAAACTCTGCCTCTGCAACGCCAAAACTGCCTGTCGCATTGCGAAATTCCCCGACGCTGACCAGCAAAATCGATGACTAATACGCATCTTTTCCAATGGATCTGGTTTCTTTGTTTCCAACTCGTGAGCAAATAATGCCCGACGTGGACAAATACTACGTGGGCCCTGGAGTCAATTTCCAATACTTGTACTGCTGCTCGGCTTCAGCGACGCGATTTTTACACTTTTCCATTTTTGGAATCAATTACTGCTTGCTAGCCAGCAAGAGTGAAAATTTCTTTATACTAATTAAACTTGATTTTTCAGTTACACTGCGTCTGCACTTGAACACTTTTTCTTCGAGAGTGGCGAGCTCATTTTGATGCGGCCCTATTTATACACGATTTGCGGCTTCGTGAAACATCTGTCAGTCTCTCGGCCTTTGGTATTGGGGGTTGGAGTGAATACACACTATTATTTATGTCTCGGACTACGTGACTCGGACTGGTTTCTCACGAGTTTCCATATACATACATCACTATGCAACATAATCCACCCCCATATTGCTAAGCCGGATATATCGGAATTGTTTGTTACCTGAGTTTGGGCAACAACCCCAGTCATTATTATACATGTTAAAACGGATGGTCCATAAGGTTTTGCCGTTCCAAAAATTCCCAGTAGTTCCCCATCCAAATTTGATGGACTTTTTTTACGATAGTTAGGCGATGTTTTTTCGGTGCAACTCTGAGTTTCTCTTCTTGACAGTGAAAATTGAAACATTCACTACGAAAACGTAAACAATAATGACAGGGAACTTTTAAAAATAGAAGGCGCCAAATCAATAAAGGCTGTTTAATTAATTAATTACTGCTCCATCCGTGTGGCAGCATTAACTCACAACATGGAGCAGAACACCTTGGAGAACGAGAGTATGTCCCCAGACTTATATTTGTGGTTTACAATTAACTAAAAATTGCAGGTACTATGGAATAGATTGTGAAGGCCTTAGATGTGGACCCCGCTCACCAGGAAGAATTCAACGCTCAGGCGCTCTGCGCCCCCTGCAATGCGCGCTATGGTGGACCACAAGGCCGAGCTTGTGAAAATAGCTCTCGAGAAAGGCTGGAGGAGCAGCGAGCGCAGACCGAGATCATGTCATTGAACTGAGCTTGGCTGTCTGTCATTCTTGACATTAAAAATAAAATGAAATATAAAATTATAATAAAACAAAAAACAAACATATTTATATTTAATGAACTTGATTTGTTAGACAATATTGGGCAATAGCTGTTCTTATTTTGAAGGCTGGAAAAAATCTACAGACATATTAGTCCGATTTGGTTGAAGTCTGTGATCAAGTATCATTTATAGCGCTATTTTGCTAATTTTAAATGTTGGATAAAATCACTAATTAATTAGTACTATAGCCTCCGCCAGTCATGAGAGAGAGCGACGCTATGCAATTTTCTGGTATTTTTCGTCGGTCTGAGTACCGGGGTGAAAAAGGAGCCTGACGAAAAGCCAGCTGTTTTCCTCTCGCTCCCTCTCATAGCTGACGAACAGATTTCGTCGATACATAAAGCCTAGCTTATGTATTAAAAGCCCCACAACAGTTCGAGGAAGCATTATGTGTAATTGATTAATACTGTATTAATAACTTTAATTAACTTTAATTTGTAGGAAGTCGATATCACGAATAAGCAAAATTGTGCCCTCCTGTGAATATATTTCTTTTTTAATGAAAGACCATACAATTTAAATTTAAGCCGGTGTCCATTTATCCAGTGACAGGTATTTTAAATATTTCGTGTCGACTGTAACTGTGACTGGGAACTAGTCGTGCCGATTAAAAACTGTATCGATACTTTAACAAATCTTTAGACATTTGTTTTTTGTTTTGATTTAAAAATAATGCAGATAATGGATTTGCTGAGAGAATTCGACATTAAACATGAACTAAGCTTCGATGGACTTGAACAGGAGCAGGTTGATTATACTTTAGCGCCAATAGAAGTACTGCTCATGGGCTATAGACACTCCATTGTAGAGTCAAAGGATTCTTCTTTACAAAGAGTTTCAATGAGGCATTCTTGGAGTACCCGCCGGTTTCCCGATCCCGATGCGCCACTCCAGATTTGACGACTCCGGCCACCTATGCACACATCGCCGATCTCAAGCGGAGACTATCTAATGGGCAGTACACTCTACGGGACAAGCGCGGCGGAGCAAGTTTTGGCAGCTATTCGCTGTAATTGTGGACGAAAACGAGGAGGACATCGATAACTTTGTGGCCTGTCGCAACTGCTACAATGTCCACAAGTTCCAGATAAGCACTTCCAACCTGATGAAGCACAAATGCGCTTTGAAGCTGGAAGCTCAGGGCAAAAACTCGGAGGCGAAGACCGCCCGGATGAGGAAACGCTGGAAAAGGTCCTGGGTACTGTGACGGCCTGGTCCACATACGACTGCCGACCGCCGAGCATAATTGAAGACTCCGAGTTCGTGAATCTGGTGCGCATTTTTCTGAACGTAGGTGCCACATACGGCTAGAATGTTAAGATTAAGGAGCTGCTACCGCAGCCAACGAAAAACACAAGAGGAGTTTGGTCGAGGAGCTGATAGCGATCAGGGCCACCGGCTACAGCTTGGCCATGTTCGTGTACACAGATAAGTTGCTGGAGCGCCAAGCCATCCTTACCATGCACTACATACAAGAATTAGCTGTGATCAACCGCTTGCTGTGCGTCTCCGACATCGACAGGGACATACCAGATGGAGGTAAGAACAACTCGAACATGAAAATCTCAAACAACTCATGTAAAATATTTGTTTAGTTTAACCTTCAATCGCATAAGTTTTTTTAATTATCATAAAATATAAATTGCAAAATCTTCGGATTAAGATTTTTAATATCTATTAGGTATTCTCTTGAATTTCGTATTTATAGATAGTCGAAAGGTTTTTTAAGTATTCTCGGGTTCTTTAAGACCTATCACAATCTTTATGCAGGGCACTAACATATATACATACATACATATACATAAGTTCATTTATATGATCTTGTTACCTAAATAACTAGCAGTTGAAATTGAGCTTGCCAGCCAGTGAAGACTTTAGAGTTCAAGACAATAGTGTCTGAACCTTCGAGCTTTTTAAAATATAAAGATTCTCTTTATTATTTATTGTTCTTGATTAATAGAAGCTTATATTAAATAACGAGGAATTTTTGTTCCATATGTAACGTTATATTTAAGGAAAATTTGATCTTTATTGTATTAAAATCGCTTCTCGTCACTTTTTTTTGTTTGTTTTTAGATAAATCGATACGTGACATGATAGCGGCAGTTCTTCAAAAGTTTAACTGCACATTAAGTAATGATGCTGCAGTAGGTGTTACGGAAAATGATGCGAGTATCAAAAATGCTTTTGCAGGTCAACAGCATGTCCTCTGCATCAATACTCAGCTGAACCAAGCGTTTGTCAACGTTTTTAGTGAGGCACAACAGCTGCAATACTTTTACAGAAAATGTGACCAGTATTTCTAACCTTGTCACAGATCAAGATCGGTATATTACAATCCGTTATTCTGTCTAAAGGATTGTAATATGCCGATCTTGATTTTTTTTTTTTTTTTCGCGCGGAGTCCCACGGCCCACTTACCCGCCCAACCGACCGAGGGGCGCAGCCGTGTATCGTACGGCACGACTCGCGATAGGATAGACGCGAGATAGGAAAATAAAGGTAAAGGTCCGGGGAAAAAAGTAATAGTTAGATCAATCTTGTGCCAATGAAGCAAGTATTAATCGTTTTAGGAGCGGCAGAGAGTCAAGATTTGATATTACAGGAAAAAGTCTATTATAGTCAGAACATAATACTCTGAAAGGCTCATGCAAGGCATAGTTAGATCTACAATGATTTAAAATTAGGGGAATATAATTTCTAGTTAATCTACTTGGCACAGAAAAGTTTAGCCGACCTAACAAGTCGGGGCAGTCAATATCACCATAAGGTTTGATAAGGTTTGAAATACTCGTCACATTTTCTAATGTAATAGCCATGATTCGGATCCTGTCCAACTTTGAAAACTGTTCAAAGGAGCTGGAAGCTCTAAACGAACCAACAATGCACATGGTTATCCCACATTTGCGCAAGCTTCGTAAACTATGTGCGGATGTCGCAACTGAAGAAGTTGCGGTAGACTCATGCTTGAAGATCGCCTTGAAACCGTACTTATATGGCAGCTATAGGATATAGTCGGCCGATCCCGGCCGTTCCGACTTATATACTGCGTGCAAAGGAAAGAAGGGTGTGTGCAAAGTTTCAATTCGATAGCTTTAAAACTGAGAGACTAGTTTGCGTAGAAACAGACAGACGGACAGACGGACATGGCTATATCAACTCAGGAGGTGATCCTGATCAAGAATATATATACTTTATAGGGTCGGAGATGTCTCCTTCACTGCGTTGCACACTTTTGACCAAAATTATAATACCCTCTGCAAGGGTATAACAAGGAAGGTAAGCTAACTACGGACGGATCCGAAGTTGATGTAGCCTTGCAGAACATTCCGAAAATTATATTCTCCAAAATTATTCATATGATGCATTCTTAATATTAAAAAAAAATCCCAAATTCCTTACTTTAAAAACACCAAAATTATGGCATTTCCAATCGTACAGTTATATGGATATAGTCGGCCGATCCTTATGAAATTTTGTATGTTAGATTGATTGGCCAAATATAAAACCCATAGAAAATCCCAACTTCCTAACTTTATGGCAAAGACCAATATAATCTCTTATAGTGGTCTTTGGTTATGGCATTTCCGATCAATCAGTTATATGGCAGCTATAGGATATAGTCGGCCGATCGCGGCCGTTCCGACTTATATACTGCGTGCAAAGGAAAGAAGGGTTTGTGCAAAGTTTCAATTCGATATCTTTAAAACTGAGAGACTAGTTCGCGTAGAAACAGACAGACGGACATGCTTATATCAACTCAGGATCAAGAATATATATACTTTATAGGGTCAGAGGTGTCTCCTTCACTGCGTTGCACACTTTTGACCAAAATTATAATACCCTCTGCAAGGGTATAAAAAAATGAAAGCTGCTTGGTGGTTAGGGGCTTTGCTTATCCCAATATTCATTCAAAAGATAACAAAATGTGTTTTACTCATTTTCCGGATATGCTAAAAAACAACGAAGTAATCATTTTATTCTTTTATTTTCCCAACTTATTTTCCACTCCGAATCGGTTCAGTGTATGGCGAGTGGCCAAATATTTGTGCTGAGCCAAACACAAGGTTTTTGAACCTTTGGCCGCTGGCTGAGCAGGAAAGCCAGCTGTTGCAAACGCACGCGCATCCTGCGCGCAATCGTCCTCGGGGTGGGTTGACTCGATGAAAGGAGAGAGGGTTGTTGAGTGAGTGGCTTTTCGAGTGGGTTCCTGCACATCCTTGAGCAACAGAGAGCTCAGTTTCGAGCGCCAAATAAATGCTAACGAGCTGAGCTGCGAAACTTGAAAACTGTCATTAAACTTCAAACAAAAAGTATGCAAAGTTTGGATTATTTTGTATCGGTCGACTGAGATTTAATTGCCGACCCAGCTTTAGAAACATGCCCAATGTCCGAATAAAGCGGAAAGAGCTCTATGTTCCGCAATAAAGCCAAGTTGCATCGGAACAATTGCGGAATAGCCACATAATCATAAACAAGCGGACAGGCTAAAGCAATTGACACGAGCAACAAAAGCGGCACAATAATGGAGGCAGCACGGAAATTGCGTATACGCCGTGTGGCCTCTTGTTGCTCTCGGGTTTGTTTTGTTTCCTGCCGCAGGCGGGCACGCAACAAACAAAAGGAAGAAGTCAAATGGCATAATAAACGTATTTATCAAGGGGCCCGAAATGAGCATATGACGCTGAATCCTTACCCCAGCCGGAGGTGTGTGTTTGTTTTTTGTGTTTGGAGCGCAGCCTCCCACACGGCTGCCCTGACATTTGAACCATCCAACCTTGGATATTGCCAAATGTGGTCCTTCAGTTTTAAGCCTACAAAGTTGTTCGCTAAGCCTGCGAAAAGTACGGAACGGGAACGGTAGAAAACTACGGCATAAACATATAGAAGAGGTCTGTCAATGCATTTGAGGGCCGTTGGCTCAGCGCTCACCGAATACATAGGCGGCAAGGACGATTGAGCGAGAGCCCGAGTGGGCGGCAGCCCCACTCCCAAACCCCCTCCCCTAGTGGTCCGAGTCCAAAAGCCGAAGCGGCGAAGGCGACTGGCGGCGGGCGCGGTTTGGCAACAGGGACCTACATTCGGTCGTATCCTGTCTGTCGGCTCTTATCGGCTCGAGTTGGCCTGAAAACCGAGCTGCCGCCGCCGCAGTGCCAGCAGTCCTCATTCAGACGCGAATCCGTTGACTACGCGGTCGCCCCAGGGGCGGATGACTATATCCATTCCAGCGGATCGGCGACCCACAACATCGCATCACGGAAACGACCACGCGTAGTGTTAACCTTTCGAGTGTCCATGTCCTGCCGATTTACCCGGGGGAGTGTTTGTGTTTGTGGTGCACCTGCAAGTGTGGACGTTTCGATTCGCGGGCGTCCTCGAAGAGTTGCAGTTTGCTGTGCAGTTTCTACCACTGACAGTTTAATTAGTTTAGCGCCTCGGTGTTGACACTTAGTCTTACGCCCATTGGGCTCTAGGGTCTAAGGACCCAGTTTAAGGACTATCGGCTCTGGCATCTCCCTCCGAGATGGCCAGCAGGCATGTAAGCTCAATTAGGTCCCCAGCACTTTCACGCTCGAAGAGGGAGCCCAATCCAATTTCGAACGGAACACCAGCTTCGGAGCTACACACAAAAAAGCTGACTTTTAACTTAGTATCAACAGCTTAAAACTTCTTAACTGATTGCACTACTACTGAAACATGAATACTGCTTTTTCAGTAATTATTTTTTCTTGGTATAACAAGTATATGATTAATTTATATATATTTATATTACTTATGTATATTTCAAAAATTGTTTTTTTCTTTAAAACCGCTTGGCTTTAAATGTGAAATTTTGCTTAATTTAAATATAAGCATACATTTTTCCAAATGAAGATTCATCCAATTAAATAACAGGAAATATATGCGGTATATATTTAAAGAAAAGTTATTTAAGCTTTATGTACAAGTTTGAATTTTGAATTGTTACTTAACTTAAATTGAAAATTAAATAAGCATTAAATAATCAGCATTGTTAATGAACCTATTTAAAAGTATAGTTAGATATGGCCACTTTAACGCATAAATAATAATAACTGGAATATACAATTTTTCACAAACTCCAGTGACATTCTAAATTTTAAATCTTAATTTTATCGAAATGGCAAATTGCCGAATGCATTCAAGAGAAAGTTCTGATAATACATTTGTAGAAAAGTTAATCATTATTTTTTACGGTGCTTGGACAGTTTGAATTTTGTGCCGAGGGGTTCTTGGTCGCCAGTTTGTCTGATGTAGACACTCCCATGGAGCCGCACAAAAGAATGTCGCCCTGGATTCGTTTGTTACCAATTGTTTCAATGCTTACTGGCAATTTTTCGGCACTCAATCGAAGAGTGCTGCGTGCGCTTGGCAGTTGTGCTTAATGGAATTTTTATGCGCTGCTATTGAGTCGCTCAATTGCTCTTTGGCTCGATGTTTGTTTGCCGATTTTTTGAGGTCAAAGTGCACGCTCCCTGGCTTTTCAATTGTGCCAAAAACAGCAGCCAAACAATGGGAAAAATGACATTAAAATTAATTAGCGACGCGCATGTGTTGGAACTGCGGCTGTGACCATGTCCCTGAGCCCAGTCTCTCGGTACCCCGATCCCCTCCAGCAGTATTTATCCAGGCACAGGCACCCAGCATTTGGCCTTATCTGAAATATGCACACGAGGCCTTGGGCCGCCGACTTTTTCGTAATGCCAGCCAAGGCAACGTCAACCAGCTGACGAACGACCGAACGACCCAGCCATTTCCCTCCGCAGTCGGATTCGCATCCGAAACGGCAACACACTGTTGTAGGTGAATTCCAAAAATCCTTGGGCGCCAAAGCCAGTTGCTAGGAAACTGCATCTGTTGTGCAACTTCAGGGCACACCAAACGCACATATCCCCCAGATGAACGAGACATTGTCGGACGGAAGTGCTAATCAAGCTGTTGTCTAATCCAAAAGGCACGAAACTTCCTGCATATCCTACAACACCAACGAAATGCCAAGAGACGATGCCATTTTTATAGACATTTTCTAAGCAGTTAGATTCGAACAGAGATAGCGAAGGCGAGGCGCCAGTGAAAGTGCCGTCCGTCCAATCAAGACGGCCGGGTGATGGCAGCCAGCGGTCGGATTCGCAAGCGAAAGCATAAGAGCCACTCAAGTGGCGACATTCCAAATCCGACGACCACAACGGCCACGTCGGCCAGCACGGCGGCAGTGTCGCCTGAAAAAGTCGAGGAGACAATGGAGGAGGCCGCCCTCTCCGGGGATTATAATAATTTCACGCATAATTTCGTCGATTTGCAGAACCTCTTGAGTTTCAACGAACTGAATGGCAGCAGCTCCTCGAGCGCGTCGAGTGCCATTAAGCTGAGTAACGGCGCCGTCAGGGACACTCTGCTGGGCACGGTCCTGACCACGGCCACCGCCACGGTGGCTCCGGCAGCCAGTTCCCTGATAGCCACCTTGGTGGCGACCACCACCGCGTCGGCGCGCGGATCTCTGCCGGGCAGATCCCTGGCCATTGCCGACGCCACCCCATCCACCTACTACGCCAACTTGCTGAACCTCTCGCCGGCCACTACGAGCCTGATCTCGGCGGCAGCGGCCACCAAGTCGTACAACGACAGTGCCCTCCGGTGGGAGCAGCTGGACGGGAGCGTGGACTTCGGGTTCGACCCGCTGTACCGCCACTCGCTGGCCATGTCCATGGTGTACTGCGTGGCGTACATCGTGGTCTTCCTGGTGGGTCTCGTCGGGAACAGCTTCGTGATTGCCGTTGTCCTGCGGGCGCCCCGCATGCGTACGGTGACGAACTACTTCATCGTCAATCTGGTGGGTGGACCGTAAATCTCACAGACGAACCCCATTAATTTGAAATAAAATTTACATTCCCCCAACTATGCGACTGCAGGCCATCGCGGACATCCTGGTCATTGTCTTCTGCCTGCCGGCCACTCTGATTGGCAACATCTTTGTGCGTAAGTATCCATTTAATTCCGTAAGACGTCGAGATTTATTTGACACTGGGGGCCACATTAGGGAGCAGCCGGAGTTTTTCTGTTGGTTCTGCATATTAGCTGGACTTATGTCCTGCAATTAATCGTCGCTTGGATAAAGCCCTGCCAAATGGCATTGCCGAAAGTTGTTGCTTTTGCGTGTTTACGTTGCGTATTCGTAATGTTACTACTAATACATATGAGAGCAAATGTAATGGACCCTCATTAGACATAATGTCGGCATAAATGTCCGAGTAAAAGTGCTCAACTTTTTCCCACCGGTAGTGTTAAGAAAAATAAACAACGCTGAATTTTTATATTCGGTTATATTAGTTATGACGTACTTGTTTTTGACAGACGCATTTGATTTCGATTATTTGGAAACTGCACGTTATGTAGCAGACTCGTTGGCGACTTTCGAGTTTATAGTACATGCATAAAAACGGACATAGCGATGCAGCATATGATAAGCCTTTCAAGTGGTCTGGAAAATATCAAGTTTGAGTACCGAATTTTAATAGCTTTCGGCAATGGCTGGTATAAATTTAAAAATAGACATTTACGTCCAGTACAAGGTTTTAATTAAGTAAAGAGATTAAAAAATATAAAAATTGTACATGCCAAAAAGAAAAAATTAAGCAAAGACAAACCACGTCAAATTTATTCAACAGTAACTCCACCATTAAGGTGGCAATTCTCCGAAATAAGGGAAAGATGTTGCACTCAATTAAATTAATTTGTAAGCTTTCCCTGGAACTCGCAATCCGCCAGAGTACAAGTACAAGTGTCTATTTAATTAAAGGCCAATTTCAAATCCCAGCGACGACCCACAAACGACCCGATAAACGAGGCTACGCATAATTGTATGCTTTAATTTAAATAAATTTGCCTGACATGCCTATCCATCCATCCATCTATCTATCTGTCCCTGTCCGCTGTCGTACACCCTTATTCGGCTTGACTCCGCTCTTTCTCGCTTTCCCCCAGACTTTGAGGGCTGCCATCCAAATTGATAGTCGTAAACCTGACCAAGGAGGTGAGCAGAGTGGCAAATGTCTATGCAAATCGCCGTGGACATGGAAAAATGATCGAAATCCCTGGTAAATCAAATTCCGATTGTGGAGCACGCCATGCTCTACTGTAATTTACCTTCGATGGCTACCCCAAGCCCAAAACTCAATGCCATCTCGTACGCTCACAGGTTGGGCCAAGTGTTGCCAATTAAATGTTGCTATACTCGCTTGTACACTGTAAAATCACACACAAATACATTTTTTTTTAATTTGATGGTGGTTATTAACAATAGTCAAATTCAAAAAGAATCAGTTATACGGGGAGGCCAAATAAATCTTCCTCCTCTACGGACAGGAAGTAACTTAATACACAAAAAAAAAAAAAAAAAAAAAAAAATCAGAGAACACTCAATAATTGAAAAACTAACAGTGACGAATAATTACAAAATACCCACATTTTCCTTATTGGCATTTAAACTATAATTTAAAAAAAAACTTAATTATTTATTTTTAAATTCTGTAGGAGTCATACATAATATTATTATTTATTTTTATTTATCAGTAAAACAATTAAAATAAAAATCAATTTTCGATTTTGTACGAGGTAAATACAGTTCAGATATTAATCAATTTTAGATCTAAATACTACAATTAAAATTAAAATAATATTTTATTTATTACATAAAATCGGAGTTTTAAACTGTTGACAGGTGATATTAATATAATTAGTTAGATTTCAAAGGTTTACGATGAATTGAATTGACGGCTAATTCAAAAATATCATGCAATATGTTGTATATTAACAGTAAAAAGATTTCATATTAAAACAAGAAAGAAAGCGAACTTCGGGCGGAGCCGAAGTTGATATACCCTTGCAGAATATTCTGTAAATTATATTCTCCAAAACCGGATCGGTTATTCATATGATGCATTCTTAATACTCATAAAAAATCCCAACTCCCTAACTTTAAAAACACCAAAGTTATGTCATTTCCAATCGTTCAGTTATATGGCAGCTATAGTATATAGTCGGCCGATCCTTATGAAATTTGGCAGGTCGGATTGATTGGCCAAAAATAAAACCCATAGATAATCCCAACTTCCTAACTTTACAAACACCAAAGCTATGGCATTTCCGATCAATTAGTTATATTGCGGCTATAGGATATAGTCAGCCGATCCTTATGAAATTTGTTAGGTCAGACTGATCGGCCAAAAATAAAACCCATAGAAAATCCCAACTTCCTAACTTTAAAAACATCAAAGTTATGGCATTTCCGATCGTTCAGTTATATGGCAGCTATATGATATAGTGGCCCGATCCGGCTCGTTCCGACTTATATACTACCTGCAATAGAAAGACAACTTTTGGGAAAGTTTCAAGCAGATAGCTTTAAAACTGAGGGACTAGTTTGCGTAGAAACGGACGGACGGACAGACGGACAGACGGACGGACAGACGGACATGGCTAGATCGACTCTCCTGGTGATGCTGATCAAGAATATATATACTTTATAGGGTCGGAAATGTCTCCTTCACTGCGTTGCAAACTTTTGACTGAAATTATAATACCCTCTGCAAGGGTATAAAAAATTTCAAATAGATTGTATACAGCACCATTTAATACCAATATTAAATATGCTTAACATGGATAAATTATTTTTCCAGTGATTGATTTATCAAAAAACGTCGTTTGAAAATACCAAACATTTTTGACTCTTAAAACCCTGGTAAATGCTACTAATTTCCAAAGGAAAGAACTGGTAATAAATTTATCAGATGTATTTCCCCGTGTAGCTCGACTCCAGGACTCGGCAATGCACTCGGGCCCACTCCTTTCCTTCCCTCCGAAACGCGCACTTGGGAGATGTAGTAAACGAAGGCTGCCGAGTAAAAATCGCCAGCAACGAATGAAGCGAGCGGCGAAAAAGTGAATGAGTTCGCCTCAGCCTGCATTGTGAGACTGTGTCTGTGTGTGTGGGTCTGTATCGGTGTCACTGCGCACTCTCTCCGCTTTCTCTCGCCCGCTCTCACTATCTGAGTGTGTCCTCTCGAGTGCGAGCGTGTTGGTGCATTTGTTGCTGCTATTCGGGGTGGCCCAAAGGATCATCGACACAAAACTGACCTAATTTCACAAATTCAAGCTAGGCGCAGGGCCGACAGCTCTTAGTGGGTCACTGGGGGTGGTGGGTGGTAGGTGGTCGGGCGCCCTTTGGCTACCACCTCCTCCACATTTACCACCACCCCAACCACCTTTTTTCCACTGGCATGACTTGAGTTGGGCTCAGCCGATGAGGCCTAAGCAAAAACGCCAGTCACAACAAATTGCAGCCCGCCCGCTGGCATTGGAGCTCACCCCTTCAACCCCCAACCCACTCACATTCCTCTTCACTTTCGACAAGCTGCTGAAGTTTAAATCGAAGGCAGCGGGCTCACAGCGACATCGATGAAATAGCGGTAACGCAGGTGAAAAAATCATGCGTTCTTGAAAAGTATATATTTTTGGGGCGGTGGTATTTCTTTATTAGGGTAAAGTTTTATATCATTTATGTTATCATGAACTAAAATCTTATTATTATTACCTTTTCAATACCTTCTGGAGTGTTTCTTAACTCTAGGCCGCTGCGCTAGGGACATTTTAAGGATAAGTACTAAATACAATATATTGGTTAATAAGATAACATTTTAAAATATAATTAGTCAGGTTCACTAGGCCAGTCCATGTAACTAGTCCGTGTGTATAACATGCAATATCTATAAAACCCTAAGAGCTTGAGAATTGGGATTTTGCTTATACATTTTTGTTGGGTTTGATCATAAGATTTTTTGCTTGAACACCACCTGCTATTTGATTAGAGCAATTCTAAGGCCACAAGAGGATTTCAGTTGGCATTTATAATGCACCCTGCAATCGGGCGTTAAAAACATAATACTTTTAATTTAAAAAAAGGAATTAAATAAAGTTATTTTTTGTAAATTAATAACGGACAAAATATTAATATGAAAGACATGTTTAATTTAATAAAAAATGGATCAGGGATTTAGGACAAAGTAAACCATTTCATAAATCATTTTGTTTAGTAATTCTAGTCAATTTTCTCTTAGTGTAGACCGGTGCGCGTGGGAGTTTGGAAGTTTCGCATACTTGCACATCGAACATTGTTCGCTGCTGTCTGATAGTTTTCACGATTCACCCCGAACGAATGGCAACTGGCAGGGATGGTCGCCATGTTTCGCCAACAAACTGAATTATATGAAATCAAATTCTAGCCGTCAAAGACGACGCCGCCGTCGCTGTCGCTGTCGCAGTCGCAGTTGGCAGCGACGTCCACGGTGGCCATCGCTGTCGGCAGCGCCATTATCTAAGCACACCTTCAGCCTCAGAATTGCAATGGAAGGTTGTTTGCATTCAAGGCTCTTTGCGGCTGGATGAATTGACCTAAATATTTCGCCTGGCAAACCTAATAGTCAGGGTTATACACACACGAGTGTGTGTGGGGGCACCTGTTCTGGGTTGGGCCTGTACTGTTTGTGCGAGGTTTGCGGGTGGTTTTGTGGGAGGTGGGTGGTTGGTGGAATGTGGTGCTAGCCCTTATTTATGTGTGTGCTTCGAAATCCAATAAAATGCGAAATGAATTGATTTCCCAGCTACGATACCGCCTTGAGACGAAGGATATCCTTGCAACAGCAACGGCAATTGTCCCAAATGGCGCTTTATGGCCATTGTTGTGCCGTTTTATCAATGGGGAATCGTTATCATTACGGCCCTTTTAGATCCGCATCTCTCGTTTGGCGAATCTGTAAGTCACGTTGCCAGTTTGTTCATTAGGGGGCCACGTGATTTGTGCCAGGCGAACGCGGCGTATGCGTAACGTCGCACCAGCCGCCTTTCCCTTGCCCCGATGAAGTCATTTTTCAGCACTCTCTGCTCGCCGATTGTATTTTAATTTAGTCTCTACGTGCCGCAGGCAAAAGGCATCCAGCCTCTGACCTCGCCACCTACGATCTGCAACTCGCAGCTCCCTCAATCCCATATCTCACCTCGAGGTTCCCCGATTACGAGTCCCACTCACATTGCTGGGCGAACTGACTGCGACTGTGGTATTCAATTTGCGCCGGGCTGCCACAGAAGTCGCCGCAGGACGTGATGCCGCGGCGATAATCATAACAATAACGCGTTTGCCAGAAGTGTTATGCTACGCCTTTTCCATGGCCACTCATCGCCCACTCCAATCGAACCTGCGGATTTGTCACGCCTGATTATTTCATTAACTTTACGACCCAACTCTGTGCATGACAATGCCGCAACCGAAACGAATCCGCAATGCCCAGAATAATCCAATCCACTTTGCCTACACAAGCAAAACCAAGAAACATTTTTGTAATGTATAAAAGTATTTATTTATATATTAACAAGAAAGGAAAGCTAACTTCGGGCGGAGCCGAAGTTGAAATACCCTTGCAGAATATTCTGCAAATTATATTCTCCAAAATTATTCATATGATGCATTCTTAATACTCATAAAAAATCCCAACTTCCTAACTTTAAAAACACCAAAGTTATGGCATTTCCAATCGTTCAGTTATGTATATGGCAGCTATAGAATATAGTCGGCCGATCCTTATGAAATTTAGTACGTCGGATTGATTGGGCAAAAATAAAACCCATAAAAAATCCCAACTTCCTAACTTAACAAACACTAAAGTTATGGCATTTCCGATCAATCAGTTATATGGCAGCTATAGGATATAGTCGGGCGATCCCGGCCGTTCCGACTTATATACTGCGTGCAAAGGAATGAAGGGTGTGTGCAAAGTTTCAATTCGATATCTTTAAAACTGAGAGACTAGTTCGCGTAGAAACAGACAGACGGACAGACAGACGGACAGACGGACATGGCTATATCAACTCAGGAGGTGATCCTGACCAAGAATATATATACTTTATAGGGTCGGAGATGTCTCCTTCACTGCGTTGCACACTTTTGACCAAAATTATAATACCCTCTGCAAGGGTATAAAAATGGCTTTGAAAATGGTCGCCTTGTATTAAATTACAGAAAAATCGTGTGCCTTGAAATTTCTTCTAAAGATTGTCTAAAAGATTGTTAATGTTAATGTAAAGCACTAAGGTTTTTCAAATTAAAAAAATATACTTCTGATATCCAGAGGAATCGAACAAAAAATAAACCAAATTGTTTAGATACAATATTTCTAAATATAAATTCGGCCTTACATTGTTCCTGTAGACTTAAATGATTAGATGGTATGCTAAATGTCACAGGCCCTTAAAAACCGCCCCTAATATTCGTTTTATATTTCTTTCTGTGTCTAAGCGAGAGACAAAAGTGAGCAAAGAAAGGGAGAGGGTAAAAAATAAAAGGCTTAGGGCTCACTTGACATTTTCCTAGGGGTTGGAGGCCCAACCACACCACCCATAATCGAAGGCTGTCGATAAGCCCAAATATCGATTGGTATTATCTCCTGTAGTTGATCAATATTGAGCACTAGCTCACGCTTATAAATGAAGGCGTCTGTTTGCCATATGTTGCCATGTCAAACACACTCCAAGTCGGATCAAGCACCCTTCCACCTCACCTTGACGCAAGAAGCTGGATGTTTGCCGAGCACGTTGAGGAGTGTTTGGTTTCACTTGAGGCCACAAATTGGTAATACCACAAGGAGTTTCAAGGTCCCACCGACACGCAAGACAATTAGGGTTATTTCGGTACCTTCAATTATGTTTGTACAACACATTAAAGAAGCCTAATAGTTTATGTAACTGTTGGGGTTTGGTTGCTTTTGTGTGATTGTGTATTTCTAAACTATTGTTGAATTATATATATATACATATAAATACATTAATGCAAAAGTTGATTTTATTCTAAATGCATTAGTTTTATAATAACGTAGTTTCAATATAACTTTAAAGTTGTATTCGGTTTTCTAAAAATAGCTAGCTTCATGTATGCAAAAGCGTGAACCTTTTTATTTTTTAGATAATAATAATCCATCTTTATTTGGACAAATTTTAAAGTTCACATTTTTCTTTTACAGCTTATTCATTGTAAAGCAAAATTTTAAATGTCAACTTTTCTATTTATTTTCTTTGAACTATGAAAATATTTGCCGAACGAAAACTGATTTCCTTTGTATAACATTTAAAATAGGGAAATCCATAAATGTGTTTTTCTAGCATTTTAAGTGAAATATATCCTGAGCAACAAATTAAAAAATTAAAATGTAAAAAGTTTCAAGTTGTGTGAATTAATTCTCTGTTTACTTTAAACCCATTGTTTGCTTGCGATTATCGAAAAGTCACTTCACTCCGTTGAGCTTACCATAACATAACTCGGTTAAGATACTTGACTGCGCTGGGTTCTGAGTGCACTGATGCAAACTTTAATCCCACACAAACCGGTCTAGTCACGTTTGCTCGTCCTAATAGAATTGCATAGCCAATTAGATAGTTTACTTTCCGAAGATGAGTTGGGTGAACATTTATTTTGGGAAAGTTCACTGTATTCGAATGCTAATTCGCTGGCTCGCAACTGACGGAGCATTTCGGAACCGAATTTGAATTTAAATTGTTTTTAACCAACTTGAAAGCATGAAGTTTGGCAGTCAAGAGCTTTCGCAGACGGCCATATATCAAAGTTCACCCTTATCAGCATAACATCAAGTGAGTGGCCAAATACACTCGCGTTAATAGCTTCGGATCCAGTCTGTTGCACTTGCAGGTCTGCCCAAAAGCCATTTCAAATCGAAGGAATAAAACCGAAAAACCCATTCGAGCTGCTGTCCTGTGTACACACAGTTGATTGTTTGTCTGTCCTGCCCACACACATGATCCCGGCCAGAACCTGTCCAATCCCGCCGAGTTCACTTGCACAAAGCACCAATAATATTTATATTTTTATGTGCCAAATCATATTAAAGTTAGCTTTTATTGGGCTGCCTCGGCGGCGTGCGGTGCGTATGCATAATAAAAAGCGACAACAAATCGAGATAAGACAGGCGACCGAGACAGGAAATTAGGAGCCCCTCGAGCCAGGAGGCGTCTCCCGGTCGAGCGTTGAACTCATGAACTCCAACTGCCAACTGCTAATGATGTGTGGGCCGCACTTGCACTTGTTTAATTGCCATTCGATATGTCATGCCCCAGCGCTGCTCTGTTCTGGCCTGTTCGACTGTCATCAACCTTGGCGAAGTTCGCCCCGTCCATGTGTGCTTTATAACCTATTGTGTCTGAGTGAGTTATGCCTCTTAGCATAAAATTCATAACGCACAACTATGCGCAAGTACGGCCCGTGTCTTCCATCTTCCATCTTCCATCAAATGGAATAAAAGGAATACAAATTAACTTAGGCAGTCTTGCGGTCCGCCATGGTCTGCGCAAACAATGCTCCCAGTCCTCACGGTTCGTCCTGGCTGGGTGGGCGCAATCTGAGACTTGTCACCAAATTATGAATGATATGCAGCACATAAATCTCAGTCAGCAAACAACGACGGGGACGTGGGAGGCGGCGATGACAAGAAGCATTGAACGTTAACCAGGACCGAGCACAACTCGAACCCAACTGTCCGTGACCATCACTACCACTGCACAAAGAGAAACTCTAGGATAGAAAAAAACTTTGTAAAATAAATCCTTTATTAGCTATAACACTAATGGAAAGTGCCTATGAGTTAGTGAATCTCGTACTCAGATCGTATTTTAATTAATAAGCGCCGTTCTATTTGAAGAAAGTCAGGTCCTGACTAGGCCGCAATTATCTAAAACTTTGAAAGCGAATGGATAACTAAACATCAGGGTCTGAACAAGAGTTATTATTTCAAAGACACTGCTTTGATTTTGGTCCACGAAGTATTTAAAAATCAGCTATTTGGCAAAACAAATAAATCCTGTTCGAATAAAAATCCCTGCTCAAAATCACTTTCTATATGGTCACACAAAAATAGTGCCTTTATTTAGTCTTAATTCCCCTTTTTCCTCAGTATCTGACTAGGGCCACAAGGACGATGTGACCGAAAGTTACTCAGCATAATTTGTGCCTTGTTTATGACCAATATTTACCCGTTTCTTCCTCTCGCTTTTCATGTTTCGCGCACCCACAACCCACACCCACTCCCACATCCGCTACTTGCAGCCTGGATGCTCGGATGGCTGATGTGCAAGTTTGTGCCCTACATACAGGGTGTCTCCGTGGCAGCCTCGGTTTACAGCCTAATTGCCGTTTCCCTGGACAGGTAAGTTGCAAACACTCGCTCCAGTTACGTGGCTATGAACTTTTATTGTGGGATCGGTTGTGGGGTCAGGGCGGGATTGGGTGGTGTAGTGGCGGGGATAGGGATAGGGATCGGGATCTGGAACTGGATCGGGCGGGGCCGGGGACGCTGTATTCACTGCCTTTAATGATGCACAACCAGAGCGGGGGCGGCGTGATGGACTGGAACCAAGGGAACCACCGGCCTGACGGCGTGCACCGCCACCACGGGCTTGTGGACAATGGGGGTGATGACCTTGACGGCTGCCGGGTGATGAACAACGTGGCTGCGGGGCAAGTAAAGGGTAAGTAGGGAGCGCGATAAGCAGATTGCAAATGAATGGCCTTACGAGTGCACCGAGTGGGCGCCGTGATGGATGATGGGCGTGTGCACCACCGCCGGGTGGGCCACCACGGGAGCCACGGCCACCACTCCGGGATGCGCGTTCGCCTGGGCGGCGGCGAGGGCGGCGAGCACGAACAGCTGTGGCGGATCAGAGTTCACGGATTAGGTGGGCTAGGGGCATTAGCTGCAGCAGCAGGTGGTTGTTACTCTCAAAAGTATTTTAAAACTTGTTGGTTACAAAATTGTCATTTTGAATTTTTAAAAATTGGACTTGATAAATTATTAATTTAGCTTAGAACTATGATTGGTAGGACCTTAAAATCAGGTCAAATCTTTTGAATTCAAAATTGCAGCCCATTAAATAAAAATGACAAATAACTGTCGAATTCAAAGCTTAGTTTACACAGACTAATATTTTGATTTCATAAATATTTTTTAAACATTTTCATACGAAATATGTGATTTTGATAGAAATGACAATTAACAGGACAGCATATACATTTACACTTAAAGTTTAAATGTTAAACTTGTGCCGGATTATATTTTGAGTATTAGTTTGAACAAATTAGATTACACTTAATATTTTGTGCCTATAGAGACAAATACATTTATTTATATGAACACACTTCAAAATTCTTATCAATAATATATGATTGATAAATAATTATAATACACTGAATACTCACAACTTTGAACATTTTGTTGGTGGTGTTTTTTGGCGGGATAACTGGAGTAGGAGTTAGGCTTACGACTTGTATTTGTCAACTGGTGACAAGTCGAGCTCCGAGATCAGCTTTTATAGGGGACTTACGCCAGGTGACCGATCCGAAAGTGCGCGGCTCAATGCAATCAGCTGCGGGAAAACTGGTCAGCTCGGCAGTAAGTCAGTTAGGCAGTAGGAGAGTACGTGGAGCAGTCGTCTCAAGATCAAGTTCATCATATGCCTTATGGTTCACCTTGTCCGTATTAGGCGCTGCGTAGAATCAATTTCATGTTTCTCGTTTTTTGTGCATTTTCAATTGCCTTAGAATGTTGTTTGCCGCGATACCATTGAAGAGTGGCGGCCAGAAATCACAGTGCAAGCCCTGCGTTTCCTGTCCCATAAAGAATAAAAAAACCATAACTATGTGACCATAAAGTCAGCCATGTCGCGGGCAACTGATTTATCAAGTGATGCTGAAGCGCTTTGACGTGTGCCAGTCATAACCCCAAGGACAATAAGAGATGCCAGCCGCCCGTCGCTTTATGTGCACTTCCATTTATATCAATTTCTGGCACTCTCGAAGGAGGAGCTGTGGCCGGAGGCCACTCTGCTTCTGCTTCTGATTCTGTTTCTGCCGCCGTCATTTTTCAGCCAGCGGGGACAAAGGCGTAGCCCATCACTTGATCGTTTGGTCACCCACAGACCCGCATGACAGTCACCGCCCACGCATAATCCCAGCCCATCGAAGTCCGAAACCAAGTCCAAGTCCTGCTCCATCGATGTCCGTTTATCCAGTTGTTTTGGTCGCATTTGCTGTTGCTTTGTGCTTTTACGAGCTCTCGTAAACTGAATCGAAATTTAAGATTTATTATCTGTAACACGAAACTTAAATCTCTCCTCGGACTTAAGGGCTGATGGGTGGACCTCGGCGCACGCGAACGCTGGGGCACTAATACCCGACTGACTTAGCTTATCACTTGCTTATACTCGTTCTTATGCCATTTAATTAGGGTCTTTCGAGGCCCGAATACGCATATAAGTTTAATCATAAAGTCCAAATATCAGTGCACTCGCATAAAAACATGGTTGTGACTTTATGGCGCTGGCATTGCGGCGTCGTCGCAAATGTCAACAGTGCGTATGGGTAACCGCAGAAGGATCCGGAATAAGCGCCACAAAACCACGTGGATCAAAGGAACACGGGGGGTGGTGGCTTATGTCAAATTATTAAATTCGACGCTCCTTAAAATCTTTAAAGCGCTATTATGAATGTAGAGCGAGCTACTTTTATTATAAGACCCACGGAAAGTCATGCCTTCATTGAGTATTCCGGTAAGAAAGGATAAGCAATACATTTTGCTTAATAAATACGTCAGCGTCAGCAAAATGTGGTCGAATAAAGATTTACACATATGGCATATTACCTTGACGATTATCCAAACAGTTGTGGTAATTTCGATTTCAACGAAAAATTGTTTATGATTTGAGTATTTGTACATTGAAGGAAAATTAGAATACATTTAAAAATATTACACTCCATATCCAATTAAAAAGAGGACACAACTTCATTGTTATAATTATTAAACAGAGGAAGAAGAAGTTTTCTTTTTAAACTCTTTTTAGTTAACAATGAAAAATATAACAGTAACTTTTTAAATTTTTAAGGCAAACTAGATTTAACAAGGGATAAAGCAAACTTTGCAGTTGGTACAAAACTGATTCGTATAAGCTAAAAAAAAATGAAACCATGTCGGTTTTTCGATGATTTTTTTGAGCGTTCTTATGGGAGCTACATGATATAGTTTTCCAAACTGGCACGTTTCGACCAACTTTTGTCCAGATAGTTTTAAATGTGGGTGACCAGTTTGCTCACAAACGGACCGACAGACAGAAGGGCATGGCTATATCAACATTCTAGTGATGATTATAGGGAAACATCTGAATGAAATTATAATCTCCTGTGCAAGAGTATGCAAATTTCAATAGTGTGCACTCAACAATATGATTGATACATTTTTTTCGAGTGCATTGTTTATCCCACAGAACTCAATTAAGCTCTCGTCTGATTTGTAGCCATACAAATAGCATGAGCAAATTATGCTAATGCAATTGGTTTGCTCCTATAAATAAACGTTATGACAATTTGATTATTGGCTTTGCGGACAGCTTTGTTTGGTCCCATCCCGCTCAATGTTCCAAGATGAGGGTCTCGGACCACATTGTTTAGCCGGCTATTTTTAGTCGGGCGTCATAGAAATAGGATTCTGGGGTAGGGGCCGCCCTCTAATGGAATTACCGCTGTGTTATCTGCCCAATGTTTTGGCGGACAGACACAGGCGACGACCCAAGTCCAAAATACGAGCACAATACACGTAATTACATGGTTTTGGCCAGGAGCATACACCCCGGGCAACCGAGCAACTGAGGCAACCGAGGCACCCAGACTCCTGGGCCAGGACAAGTCTTGTCTATGACCATTGAGCGGGCGCCACAATGAGCCGGCTGCACTAAGCTAAATGAAAAATGCTGAACTCGTTGTGGCCCCATACCGACTCGTCTCGGTACCTCGCAGCTCTTATTCAAATTACAATTCATTATGGCAAGCAGAATAAAAAATGACACCCCTGCTCCAATATCGCAGCCCCACGTTTTCGAGAACGGAGCAGGCGGGGTCAATAGTCGAGATTGGAAAGCGAATACTCAGCAGAAAAAGGCTTAAGGATGGCTGGTGGCATCCTGCGTGTGCGAATTAATCAGCGAAAATATTTGCATGCCGAGCTCCTAGTTGAAACGGTGTCGTCATCGTCGCCTCGACAGCTTGATGATTGCCATTATCCTTGACGGCTCAGCGCCGTCAGCGGCATCTGGAGCCGGTGCTCCTGCTCCTGCCCCGACTTGCCTGGTACTATGACTAGCTGGTAAACACCCTTTGTCGCGCCTTCCCTCTTGCAGGTTCATTGCCATCTGGTGGCCCCTGAAGCAGATGACAAAGCGACGTGCCCGCATCATGATAATCGGCATATGGGTAATCGCGCTGGTGACCACCATCCCCTGGCTGCTCTTCTTCGACCTGGTGCCCGCCGAGGAGGTGTTCTCCGACGCACTGGTCTCGGCCTACTCGCAGCCCCAGTTCCTCTGCCAGGAGGTCTGGCCCCCGGGCACCGACGGCAACCTGTACTTCCTGCTGGCCAACCTAGTGGCCTGCTACCTGCTGCCCATGTCCTTGATCACGCTCTGCTACGTGCTCATCTGGATCAAGGTCTCCACGCGGTCGATTCCCGGGGAGTCGAAGGACGCCCAAATGGACCGCATGCAGCAGAAGAGCAAGGTGAAGGTCATCAAGATGCTGGTGGCCGTGGTCATCCTGTTCGTGCTCTCCTGGCTGCCGCTCTACGTCATCTTTGCGAGGATCAAGTTTGGATCGGACATCTCGCAGGAGGAGTTCGAGATCCTCAAGAAGGTGATGCCTGTGGCCCAGTGGCTGGGCTCCTCGAACAGCTGCATTAACCCCATCCTCTACTCGGTGAACAAGAAGTATCGACGCGGGTTCGCTGCCATCATCAAGTCGCGCAGCTGCTGCGGCCGCCTCAGGTGAGCAAAGGAATACATTTATTTAAATACGGAAAAGCTTTTAAATATTTGTAGTAAATTTAAAACCATCTTTTCTGAAAGCCTTTTTAAAAAGTTGAAAGTACTTTACTTTAAATTTCATCTGTTACAGTTTTAAAGGGGTATGAACAGATCAAAAGTCTTTTCAGATATATGTTCGGTATATATATTTACTTGAAAATGCCCACATTATTTAAATCTGAAAAATCAGACTGTATAGACAGGCTTTATATGTTTTGAGTAATAGATCGCAGTGGGCTACAGTAGTGTGGATTTGCACCTTAAGAGTGTGTAAAGATCTGTTGTCATGGTTCGATCGGAACGAGTGATATAACGATCGAAGGATACCTCTTTACAAGGCTTTAAGAAACACAATTGGCATAGGATAAATAAAGGTAATCATGTGAAAGTAAACATTTTGAAAACTTGATTTGTTGGGGCCAGTGGGGAAAAAATTTTTAAAGTGTATTTACTTAGTCGAATGGAAAATCTTATTTATCTTAATCTTATTATGTTAAAATTGTGAGGAGTTTTTCTTTGATCTTTTTTCAAATTTTAAGATAGTTGCTTATTTGCTCAGCACTATTATTTATAAATAATTTTCTTGATAAAAATTAGTTCAAGTTAAGAAAAATTGGTTTTTAAGATAAAACAAATTCTTTTTAAGTTCAATAATAATTTAATTAAATCATAAAACTTGAATATTTTTATTCGTGGGTGCATTAAAATTATTATAACTAGTTCTCGTGTGTTTCTAATTATAATTTATTTACCCTTTGCAATATTTTTTGAAAATTTAATTTTTGATAAGTACCAATAAAAATAAATATAAATATATAATATTTTAATTTGATATAAAGCATAACGATTTAATTTAAATCTGAAGATTATCCGACACATAGTTTTAAAAGTATCGATGAGTTAGAGCAATCGAAAATACATTTGCCAAAACTCCGATAGTTTCGTTAATCAGTATGTAAATAAAAGCATTCTGTTGTGGCTTTTCCTCAATCGAACCATTTGCTATTTTTCAACCCAGGTACTACGACAACGTGGCCATCGCTTCCAGCACCACCAGCACCCGGAAGTCGTCGCACTACCACCAGAACAGCTCCCGGAAGAGCCCGAGCAGCAAGAACAACGCAGTGTCCTATATCTACGAGCACAACTCGCTGCGGCGCCACAACATGATGCTCAAGCAGGACAGCAACCTGTCGCAGCAGATGCTGCTCAAGCAGGACTCGCACGGCTCGCGCCAGTTCCTCATCAAGCAGGAGAGCTCCTGCAGCGACGCCTCCGGCATCCGACGACCGCTGTGCCAGCAGGACAGCAACGGCTCCAAGGTGTCGCTGTCAAAGCAGGACTCGATTGTGTCCTACATGGAGGCGCGGCGGGCCGCCGGCCACGGCCTAAACGATTCCTTGGTGGACAGGGAGAATGTCTCCGCGGATTCGCGACGCCCGGGCGCCACTCCGAGCTCCCTGCTGGACAAGCGGCAGAAGTTCGTCAAGCAGGACTCGGTGATCTCGTTCGTGGACCAGCGACCGGAACAACGACGCCATCAGCTGGTCAAGCAGGACTCGGTGATTTCCTTCGCCGACCAGCGACGCGGACTGCTTCACAAACAGGATTCGCTAATCGCCAACCGGGCGGGCGATGCTCCGACACACCACGTCTCCATACTGAAGAAGACCGACTCTCAGCTCAGCTACGGAAGCTCTACTTCTCCGCGCAGGAATGCGGATCTATACGAATAGGCAACGAACTCCTTACTCTGGTGGGAACCACCTACCACTTGTGTGGGTCGATTTTCGGGCAACAAAAAAATACTAAATCAGGGGGTTCATGTGACCTATGGGCTTTTTAGCACAATTAAAATATAATTTGACCTATATATACTTTTTAAAAAGAATAAGAGCATGGATCACATATACCCCAAGATTTTTGCTATGCAAATCGATCCACCCCAACATACAAACTAACGCAACGATACCAAAAACTTACCGAACCACAAGATAAATCCTTGTATATTTCTAAAGCAGCTAGACAGACATGGATCGAATGTAATTAGAGTGATACGCCTACGACTGTGATACAAGTCGGCAGTGCTGGTGGGTTCAGAACTTGAGCTAGTCTGTGCCGCACATATCCGTCATCGTCGTTGAGATAGGATAGTGGATAGAAGATAGAGGATAGTGGATAGAGAGCCAGTAGGGACGGACATCGGGATGGACCAATCGGGGTGGGTGTATCTAATCAGAGATCGCTTAGCTAGAAACAGACACGCCACACGGGCACGGAAAACAGGAATACACCACACACCACAGACACTCCCCACAGACCTAATAGTTAATAGATGTTTTATACGTGTTTCAGCGGTACTACACAAGATATGAACTACTCCTTGGCTATGGCTATATAATACCTACATGTACCGTTACGCAGTTTTAAGATTGTTTGTACTCGCAATTTGCTATATCGAAAAGTTTGGTTAAGTGTGGGTGGAAAATCGTGGGATTCGAAGGGGTTAAAATAGCTTTGCTAAACTTTTTGTACGACGGCGAACGTGAGTGAAACGGGCAAGTCCAGTATCATAGTTGAGAAACGAAACAAAACAAAATGAGATAACACCGAGGTCTAAAGTAACGTACCTACTAAATTTTTGTATGGAAATTCTTACAATTTATACATATATATTTATATTGATTTTGAAATAAGCAATATGCAATACAAGCGTATGTCTGCGCGTACGCCGTGTATCTATCAAACAACAATAATCAATTTTAATAGGATTTACACAACCGAGTCGCTCAGCGGAAATGGCACAGCACCGGAAAATGGTTAGTAAACGCAATACAACGGAAGTTCGAATGATTGGCACAACATCATAGTTTAGTTATCGGGCACGAAGTCGGCCAATCGCCGATTTATTCGATAGCGATATCGATCGGCAGAGGAAGGGGTAGCGGTAGTGGTAGAGAAGGCATCGAACGCGCACAACCTAGCACTTGACCATGCTGGGACAGAGTCGACGGGGTGGGGGTAGATTAGGGATTAGGGACTATGGATAGGTTAGGATTAGTGGGGCGGACGAGGTGGTTGTCCGCCAAGGGAGCACAAAACAGTCAAAGATTTCGCTCTAAACGTATCACTACAAACTAACAAAGAAGCAAACAATAATCGAACTCAAATTCGTTAAACACTAAACACCAATGAACTTTAAAGTATATGAAATAAAATTTTAACGGACGACGGGGGGAGGCGAAATCAATGGTAAAACTATGAAACTAAACGTAAAGATTAACTATGCAATTTTATTGTTAGCCAAAATTTTATAAATGTCAAGTAACGAACAAGTAAATATTTATATGTATACAGAATATATCAAGTAAAAAGCATACGTTATATATCTTTATATACTTCGAAAGCATTAGGCGCTGATTTGTAGAGTTTTGGCTTGCTTCGATGTCGTCAAACCGAATCGGACCGATCAAAGATTAATAAACGTAAATAAAAGCCGTACTCTTCGGTCTCCATTCAGACTTGGGGAAGAACTAAAAGTCGTACCCAAAAATCGAAAGAGTAAAATGCTCGACAAAGTCACGCACGGCCCGTTCAAAACTCCAGCGCTTAATGCAAGGCAAGAATCTACAATGAGGAATATCAATAATATATTTCAAATATACATACATATATTTATATAGGCTTAACGACTCATATGCCAGCAGTATCGGCAACCAACCACAGAACAGAATAACGAAGTCTAGTAAACATGAGATTACATTTATACGAATATATATTATATGCTGCAAGTATGTAAAAGAGCGCAATAGAAATGTCCTTTCCTGCTTTCAATTTAACTTAAAGAATAACTTTAAAGTAGCGAACAGGAGGATAAAAGCAAAAGTAATATTTATCAAAGAAACAAATTGAACATTTGGTTTTAAAGTTTTTAAAATGTAGATCATACCCGTACCCACATCCCTGTGCAATATGTTCATTATTTACCGCTGCGGAAAATGAAATATATTACAAATCGCGCGTTAACCAGTTAAACAGAAAGCATGACATTATGGCAACGCAATATTAAATATGTAAATATATGTGTTTATGCATGCATATATATGTATATTTATCGCATAGAGCTAACACCAAGGATACATGCATGTTAGCAGAAATAATAAATAAATAAATATGATCAAAACTAGAAGCGTATTTTCATTTTAATTGCCGACGTACCAAACCATCGATAAGCAACTGCCAATCATCAAGTTCAATTTAATTTTTCAGATAGCTTGGTGCTAAATTAATAATAAAGGATCAGAGATCTGCTCGTGTTCGAGTCCATGAAATGAGCGATGCCGAATTCTATACTATACATTGACTATATGACTCACCCTTCGAAATATTAAAAAAATATAGCCTTCTTTTGGGACAAACATTTCAAAAACTGAATAATATCTTGTAGACTTTTATTTAGTTTTAGAAATAGTAGGTACCAAATAAATAACACTATTAATTAATTTAATTTCTATAATCTCTGAGGTTACCTACAATAATAAGGATCAAAATTGGTAAATCCTTATTCCTAAACTCGAAATTCATAAAAGCGTTTCACAATCATTTTTAGGCCAGACTCGGATTAAGCTTTCCAAAACCCCACACCAAAGGTTATCTCTGCTCAAACTTCTCACCAAAAAGCTTGTCCTACCTATACCTAATGTTTAAAATCGCTATAGGTTAGTGTCCAATTGGGAACCTAATAATTCGGACTTGCCATGAATCGTTGGTTAAATCGCGTTGCCGTCGTAACAGGGGCCAGTGGTGGAATCGGAGCAGCCTGTTGCCGTGATCTGGTGGCCAAGGGTATGATAGTCGTGGGGTTAGCCAGGAGAGAGAAGGTTCTCCAGGAGATAAAATCCTCCCTGCCTGCCGATCAGTCTGTTCGTTTTCATACCCGTTCTTGTGATGTCAGCGACGAGCAGCAGGTCAAAGATGTCTTCGCTTGGATCGACCAAACTCTGGGTGGTGCCGATGTGCTAATCAATAATGCTGGAATAGTGCGGAATATCAACATCACGGATGAGGGAAACTCGAATGATGTGCGCGCCATTCTGGACGTCAATGTACTGGGAGTGACATGGTGCACCCGTGAGATATTTATATCGTTGCAACGCCGCAAGGTCAACGATGGTCATGTGGTGATCATCAATAGTGTGGTGGGTCACCAAGTACCCGCCGTGGAGAATTTTAGCCTCAACATGTATGCACCCTCAAAGCACGCGATCACAGCATTAACCGAGATCCTGCGCCAGGAGTTCAACAAAAAAGGGACCAAGACCAAGATTACGGTGAGACTATAAGCCTATAAAATGTGCATATATACTAATATCCCCCTGGTTCCCCTTTTAGAGCATCAGTCCTGGTGTGGTAGACACGGAAATCTTTGAAAACGGATCTTGGGAACATCCCAGTGGAATGCCTATGCTGCGATCGGCCGACGTGGCCGATGCAGTATCTTATTGCATTCAAACGCCGCCAAATGTTCAGATACATGAACTTATTATCAAGCCTGTGGGCGAACGCTTTTGAAGTGTCCATTTCGAAAGCAAGGTCCAGTATGAAGTTTTCGCAGAGCTAATAAACAAATCCATTGAACTATAGGTGCTGAGAAATTTCATAAGTAATCTATTAAGAGGCACTACATTTTAATCAATTCAATCTTGAGCAATCAAGACTAATAGCAACAATATATATAAAAAGAAAAATATATTGCTGTTATTATTGTTGCTATTAGTCTTGATTAGCCGACTAATTAAACTTTGAATCAACAATGTTTATATGTATTTTTAATAATATTACAAAGTAACCTTTAATTGGATTGGGGTGCCTTATTAACTGAAAAATTGAATTAAAGCTTGGTACCATAAGCTTTTGAGCTTCGCATATGCACACAGTGACAAACTTAATTGTTGGCAAATCAACTTTATGACTTCTTTTCAATATAATATGCATATATTATTAAAAATACAATTTTTTCAGATAAAATGACTATTTTACTATCCATTACAAAATTATTAATTTATCTTATATAAATCTATATGTACAAAATATCATATATATTAACAGCATAACTTGTTTGTGAAAAATGGGACATGATTAAGCAGATCTTCCGCACGCCAAATATATTTTATTATTGAAGTCTCTCTGTTAATATTGGAAGCTTAAAAGAAAATGAATATTTGTCTATTTTTTCAATATCACCAAAATTTAGTAAATACTGTTTATTTTCCAATTACTAAAAAAAAAATGTTTAACTTTTTGAACGCATTTGAAACCCAAGAACATCGTTAGTTATCGACAAAGTTATTCAGATACTTCAGACATTCAATTACTATCGATTGAAGTCAACAGCTAGTACTTTTATCGAACCCTCGGTCAACACGTTGTTCAACACTAGCCAGCAGTCGTAGTTCGTGTCGGGATTGTTTTTAGTTTTATATTTCTCAACTTTTAGACCGCTAATTGCCCAATTGGTCAATTCTTCCAAATTGCAATAAATTCTGTAGAGCCATATTTCACGGTTTTCAACGCCGTCGCGTTTCCTTGGACCCACAAAAGCTAATTGAATTACTCACGCACACAGACGCAACCAACCCATCGCCTGCGTCATAAGCTATTTTCGTCGATATATCCAAAAATCCAGAACATGGACCCCAAACAACAGAAGCCCGAGGAGGAGGTGGCCACCGCATCCACGCTGCTAGAGGATCAGCTGGACATGGACATGAAGCACTGCTTCGAGAACCTAATTGTTATCGACGTGGGTGCGAATTTGACCAACAAGAAGTATAGCCGTGACTTGGATTCCGTGGTTCAGAGAGCCAGAGACGCAGGTTTGCATTTTAAACACAAGAATTAATAATAAAACCCAGGCATCGTCTTTGATTTGGGGCAAGGCCACAAAAACACATCAGACAGACATAAGGTCAGGCGATAAGTGAACAACAAGTGTGCAGGCTAGGCATGTGTTTTGTTATACACTTTTAAAGAGTATTATGATTTTGTTGGAAATTTACAACGCATCAAAGCAGAAATCTCAGAAGCTTTTAAACTTAGTCTTTTTCTATTCCACCAGCTGTAAAACTATCAGCTATACAAATCGTAATGGTGGAATGCAATCTATTTAAGTTGGAGGTATTTTATATAATTCATTCCTTTTTTAAAAATTGAAAGACCTTATTCTATAGCTGTACAAGACAGTTACATAGTAACATAGAAATTAAGTTATTTTCGTTTAATAAGATTTTAGGGCACTTAAACTTTTGTTTTTAGAAGTTTGCAATTTTCTGTATGTGTAAGGTGGACTAATTTTCTCCCATCTCATCTTTTCAGGTGTTCAAAAACTCATGGTTCACGGCACTTCGGTCAAATCTAGCAAGGAAGCGCTGCGCCTCTCGCGCATCTATCCCGACATTATCTATTCGACTGCTGGCATTCATCCGCATGACTCCAAGTCTATCGTGGAGGAGCCGGCCACGTGGTTCGACCTGGAGCACATTGCCCAGGCACAAGAGTGCGTGGCCGTTGGGCCCTGCGGTTTGGACTACCAGCGGGACTTTTCCGAACCCGACGCCCAGAAGCAGATATTCGCCAAGCAGCTCCACCTGGCCATCCGGCTAAACAAACCTCTGCTAATCCATGAGCGGTCGGCTCAGCACGATCTTCTTGAAATACTTGACAAGTACGCGCCGTAGCTTTGCCTTACAAAGTTTCTAACCTGATTCGCTTGCAGATTCGAGAACATGCCGCCTGTGATTATAAGAGGTTTTATGGGAACCGCCGAAGAGGCGCTCAAGTACCTAGAGCGCAGGTTCTACATTAGCCTGACGGGCTACCTGTGCAAGGACAAATCTGATTCTGGCGTGCGCCGACTGCTAGAAGATGGCACTTTGCCGCTGGACAGACTACTGGTCGAGACGGATGCTCCTTTCATGTACCCGAATACAAGGGCTTCCAAGCTGCCGCAACATGTCAAAACTGGCATTACCGATCGCTCTTTGTTGTACTTACACAGGTGAGAGTGGTACTAATACCATAATCAGGACATTCTTTTAATGATCGTAAGTATCCCCCAGATATTGTACCTTCCAACGCAACGAGCCTTGCAGCCTGCCCGCCATTGTAGAGATGATTGCTGCATTCATGAAGAAAACTCCCGATGAGGTGGCTCTGGCCACCGCCTTTAATGCCCTTAAACTATTCGGATTGTCGTAGACAATAGAAGTGGAGCAACATGGAACTGAACGATAAAGTGTGCCAACCAGCAGCTTTAAAACCGTAACACTATAAATTGAACGAGCCTGAGATTCACGATAGACTCATACCTATGTGCCTTAACCACTAATCGAATTCAGGATGAAGCGCTCATCCTGATCCCCACACATACACACGCCCATAACTACGATCCCCATTGCATGCGAAAAGTACGTATACGTAATACCTATATAATCACCCCCCTGCCGTTAAGGTGCAAATTATCGATAGAAGTTTGCAGGGGCTAGCTGTAAGTTGTTGGAATTTCCCGAGCAATTGCTTTATTTACTCAAGCACCACTGAGAAACGGTGCCAAGGTGGTGCCAAGTGGACGCCGACTCCGGATTTGTACTAGGTCGGCGCTTCACGCCTCGAAGCGCGCGCTTCGAACTCGCTTCCGAAGATATAGATGTTAAGTGCTGCAGCTTGTCTTTTGTTTGTTTTTTCTGTATTTAGGCTAGAATCATTATTTTTAGTTCGTGTCTTGTTAGCCTGTAGTCATATTTTTGTATATATTTATTCTTGTTGCGACGATGACGATGATGATTATGGGAAACGTAATGTGATCATTTTAAGAGCTAAATATTTATATGATATTGAACATACAAACGCGTTATCTAGGCTATGAAACATATTGAATACCGTGCGCCTATACATACTATATTTTGTTATATTTATATATACAAAACCATTGTACTGAACTGATCGACCCGCGGAGGTTGCATAAAATCCGCTTTGTGCCCATTGTCCGCACACAGACACACTATTTTCCATTTCAATAAAGCGAATTTAAAACCCAAATGAACAAAGGCACTCTTTAAGACGTCATAACGTGTATTTTTGGTTCGTTAGCACACTTAAAAGCGCTGAATGTTGCTTAAGTCCTCAAACTGCTCCAACTGATGCAAATTGTCCCACCACAGCTTCAGGCGGTGCTGCAGGATCAGGGAGAACCAGGGTGTCAGCGGGGCACTGAACTTGGCCACCGCCTCGTCGATCTTGTCGCGTCGAAGGTAACGCACCTCGCTGACCTCGTTGCTGTTTGGCCTAAGGGTTACGTCCTTCTGCAGGAACAGGATGTAGTCGATCTCGTGCTCGCCCCACACTCCATCGCCTGTGTCCGCATAGTGAATGCGGGTCAGGTAACGAAAGTCCTGTGGCTGCAGCTCCTCTGTGGGAATACCCAGTTCATAGTTAAGGCGTCTCTGGGCGGCCAATCGGATCCCCAGGGCGTTGCTCTCCTCGCGCTCCTGATCGATTTCATGGAGAGGATGGCTGCAGCAAGCGTTGGTATAGGTGTTCGGGAAAGTAATCTGCGAATATTATCTTATAATATACTATATAACGAGTGAATATCTCTGTGATTTCACTTTATGAGATGAACGCTTTTGAACCAGCATCTCGCCCTTTGCGTTGAAAAGGAAAACACTGAAGGCGCGATGTAGTCTCACATCTCCTGACTTTGGGTGCACCCGGTGACAATCGGCCTTGGAGGCTGCCCCAATGGCCTGGTCGTTGGCGTCCACCAGGATGCACTGCTCCTTGAGGGCGTGTGCCTGGAGGGGATCGTGCACGGATTCCGTGGGCACCTCGCGCTGCTGCTGCTGGCCCACCACCGTGGTGGAGCAAGGGCGCAGCCGAGACATCCGGGGCAGCAGGAGATTCAAGCGAGAAGCAAACATTTTTGGTATATGACTAGTTTCGAGTGCGGCCAAAACAAATACGATAGGAATGTGAAACTTCGTATTACAGCGCGGCAGTGCTGCCAACCCCCATTTTTTTGCCTCGCGCACTTTCCAGCACTGCGCCCCAATCAGCTGTTCCTCAGATGCGGTAGCCCTAGCTCTAGTGATACACAATTTGCTCATAATCAGTTTTTCGCTTCCGTCGTCGAACGAAAAAATTGTAAATAGCCAAGCAGCAGACTGAGAAAAACCACGGAAAATGGTGAGTAGATAGTCAGCTCAAAATGAAGATCCCATTATGACCCTCTATTCGTCCAGATACGCTTCATACTCATACAAAACCGAGCTGGTAAAACTCGCCTTGCCAAGTGGTACATGAACTTTGACGATGACGAGAAGCAGAAACTGATTGAGGAGGTGCATGCCGTAGTCACAGTGCGCGATGCCAAGCACACTAATTTTGTGGAGGTGGGATCGAGTCTATATGTCCTATTGGAAACGCCATTTAACCTACTGCCCTTTCCAGTTTCGGAATTTCAAGATCGTGTACCGACGCTATGCGGGCCTCTATTTCTGCATCTGCGTGGACGTGAACGACAACAATCTGTGCTATCTGGAAGCCATTCACAACTTCGTGGAGGTGCTGAACGAATACTTCCATAACGTGTGCGAGCTCGACCTGGTATTCAACTTTTATAAAGTGTACAGCGTGGTGGACGAGATGTTTCTGGCGGGCGAGATCCGGGAAACCTCGCAGACGAAGGTGCTCAAGCAGCTGCTCACGCTGAATTCGCTGGAGTAGATCCACCGGATAGGATCGCCAGATGCATTCCCC